TTGGTGCTTTTGTCTTAAAACTTCTAAAGGCTGATACTTTATTCGATATCTTAGCGTGTGTAAATGAATTATATTATTCTTGTTGACGTTATTCTTCTTGTTGAGTTGATGGTGGTGTTGTTGTCGTATGACACTAGCTATTTGTGTTGTTGCATTGATGGCGTTGTTGTCCTATGACAACCTATTTTGTTTTTGCGTTGATGGTGCTGTCAACACTAAGTAAATTTTACGTTGTTATTGATCCATGGTAATGTTAGTTGTTAAGTTCTTGTGGTCTTGTTTTTCTTGTTTTATTGCTGTTCTTGACGCAATGATTATTGTGTTGATGTGTGTTATTAACTATTATGTATTTCAGGCTCAATTCTTCGAACTGCGCGAGGAGGCTACACAGAATGGGCTGCAAGTCACCGACGAAGAAATATGGTACTCGATAGTTGAGGGCCATAACGCGAAGAACCGTGTTCCTGGAGTTGGTGACTACGAGCGGGAAATGAGGAAGATGAATCCGTCCTCCAAACCTCGTCGTTCCAGCACGAGTAGTAGAAGCACAGCGGAGATATCAGCACTCAAAGAGCAAAACCAAAGGTTGCAGGAACAAATTGATAGCCTAACCTCGAACTTGTCACTGACGATTCAAGAGGAGCTAAGGAAGCTATATGGTGGTAACCTTCCTCGACGAGGTGATGATGATGGAACAGGAGGGGCAGGGCAGCCCGGGATTTGTTGAGACATTTACGACCTTAGCTTCCTCCATTTTAAACACTTGACACTAACATTCTAATATTTGTTGTTAGAACATATTGAATTATGCTACATTCTCATTTGAAGTTTGCATTAAGCTAGATTTGAATTAGCAATTTGGGTGTTTGAAATCTTGTTTGGAATTATATGTGTGAAGATTGAATGTGTTTTGCCCCCCACACACCCCATTGTAATAGGTAGTGCTGAAAACAGCAAAATTTTGGTTCCCAGGTCATCTGCGACGGACTGATCGTCGCTACATGTGTCGCTGATCTGCGACGGAGGATTCCGTTGCTAATGCCGTCGCAGATCTGCGACGGTTTTCTATATCCGTCGCAGATTTTGCTGGATGGAAAAAATGAAAACCCCGTTGCAGTTCCGTCGCAGATCTGCCACGGATTTTAAAGTCCGTCGCAGATTTTGAATCTGCCACAACTTTTCTGCGACGGAACGATTTCGTGGCAGATCCGTCGCAAAATAGAAATCTGCCACGGAAAATTAGATTCTGCCACGAAATATTTCCGTTGCAGAAGAGGAGTTTTCTTGTAGTGTATCTAAAAGTAAGATATGATGGATAGATTATTACAGAAAAAGTATGATGTGATAGGTCTGGTATGAAAAAGTAAGGGTAAAAGTGGTTTTTTAATAAAAAATGGAAGTGTTTTATTGAAAGTAGAAAAAATGAAATAGGAAGTGTTTTTGAGAACTTAGGGAGTATATAACTGCCCATCATTGACATTAAGTCAGAATTTGCCTTAACCAAATACTCCCTCCGTCCTGCTATATTCGTACGGAATGTTATTTAATAATCATTCCCTCCATCTCATTAGTTTATTGTGATTTGTGAATAAGGTTTATGATGTTGATTGATGTTATTTTAAAATTATTTTATATAAGAAAAAATTGTCTCAAATTATACTAAAATATGAAGCATATTTAAATAGTACTAAAACATAGTGATTTTCTCAATGTAGTACCATATGTTTTTATTTTCCAATGTAGTATCATTGTTCAATATCCGCTGGTCATCGTTAAGTAAATGTTTACATCCAGGGCTGGCCCGGGGGTGGGCTGAGCAAATCTACTGGACCGGGCCCAAGATTTTAAGGGCCCAAAGAATTTTTTAATAATACATTCGAAAATCCTAAGGGTTGTTTGTTTCATCCTCTTAATGGTTCAGATGTCTGAATGGTTCAGCATTTAATGGTTCAGACTGTTTGTTTCAGCCTCTTAATGATTCAGATGTCTGAATGGTTAAGAGATTTGCCTCTGAATGGTTAAATATTATACAGAGTCTGAATGGTTAAAACATCTTATCTGAATTGATCAGACATTTGCCTCTGAATAGTTTAGCAATATACTAGCTCTTAATGGTTCAGACCTCTTACTGGTTCAGCACTTAATGGTTCAGACCTCTTACTGGTTCAGCACTTACCTATTCAGAAGTTGCCAAACAGCCCCTAAGGTTACTAAACTTGGTTACAGATGCCACACAAAAAGAAATATATATCTACTATTTTCATTTCATTAAAACTTCTAATTGTGTAAAAAAAGAAACATAAGTAGTATCTAATATAAGTATTTTACGAGCTAAGAAAAATAGGTTAAAAAAATAATTAAATTTTTCTGTGTTTTATCTAAAAATTAATTTGAATACTCATACCTAAAAAATATTTTTTTCAAAAAATAAATTCATTAAAAATTATTGTCATCAATACAAATTAAGAAATATTTATTAATTATTACTCACTCCGTCCACAAATAAACTTTACGTTGCGCGTTACGATGTTTGACTAAAGTTATTTTTAAATCATTTTATATGAAAAATGGTGTGAAATTTTAAAATAAAAATCACATATTAAAAAACTATATCAAAAGATCTACAAAATTAGAGGTGACATGACTATATTATTTTATCAAATGGGTAACGAAAATAGGCCGACAAAATAAATAAAGTTTGACCTTATAAATAGTGAACGTAAAGTTTATTTGTGGACGGAGGGAGTATTTAATATATTAAAATTAAATTTTTCTTTTTTTTCTCTCGTTTCAATCAAATAAATATAAGTGTGACGTGTTACATAAGAATTACAGAGTATTATATTATAAGAACACATTACAAAGTCTTTACTTTTTAAAAATATGAGTATTGCCTAACTATTTGATTATTTATTAGATATTCATTATTTATCTTAAATGTGATAAGGAAATAATACAAGAAAGAAATAGAAAGTGTAACAGTATATTCAAAATTATATTGAAAATAAGATGGAAGAGTGAAAAACACAAATTAAAATTTCTTATAAGTTAAAAACATCTAATACTCCTTCCGTCCCAAAAGGTCCTTCACGTTTCAAAAAAATGGTATCACACCATTTCCTTCTCATTTCAATTAAAAAACCACTTTTACCCCTTACTTTTTCATGTCATATCTATCACATCATACCTTTTTAATTTCTTAATAATCTATACATCACATTCCACTTTTACCCATCACATTAAGGGTATTTTTGGAAAGTCAACACAAAATTATCCCTCCCTTATTTTTCCACTTTTGTCAAATATCCCTTTCTTCATGGGACGGAGGGAGTATAAAATATTTCTTTTAATTATAGTTGATCATTTTTATATCTACTTGAATTATGTAATTAGTTATTTATATTTCTTCTCATCTGATCTGGCCTGATTTGATTTCAATAAGAAAAGGTAACGAATAATACGAATAGGTTGAAGAAAGAGATAGAAATAATTGGATTAAAGATCAAACAAGGAAACGTTCGCACGCACAATACACATGCAACAACGAAACATAAAGTGAAATACAAACAGGTACATGCAACACTGCTACAAGTTGTCACAGAGACATACATGCATGCAGCTTATTAACATATTTAAACCAAAACCATATTGTTTGGTCGGTGCACATACGTACAACACACACACACATGCAACACACACAATTATAAGGAAATATGACTAAACAGAGATGATGATAGGATGGTGATGATTGCACAGTACTTTCTCATGCATTTACAATTCTCGTTCACGGTCGTCTAGGATTGAGGACAACCATTTGGGTCGTTGGGTAACAACGTGACATTCCTAAAACGAAAAAAAAATCAATTGTTATTAATTACTAAGCACGCATAAATTTGTTATGAACTAGAAGAATTTGACTCAAATCCAAATTCAAATATTTTAAGTTTCTCAAACAAAGAATTTGAGCCAAATTTAGATTTGAAACCCAAATCTAGGGCTGTAAACGGATAGCCGAAAATCCGATTACCGTCCGCATCCGTATCCGTTTAAAGAGAAAATATCCGCATCTGTTTTAAACGGATATTATCCGTATCCGATTAAGGATATCCGATTACTAAACAGATACGGATCTGGTAATTGTATATCCGATCCGTTTAAAATCCGATCCGGATATGCATCCGTTTAAATAACCGTTTATCCGAATATCCGATCCGTTACATATAGTTTTTCCTAATTTTTTATGTTTATAATTTGTTTCTCTATTGATATTTCAAAATATAAGACATTTTTATATACAAAATAAATGTGTACACACAAAAATAAATACAGACATATAGAAATATGTGTATATGTGTGCTGTGTATATCGTTTTATCATATGAAGTTATCGTAAAATATTATAAATCATGAAAACAAAGAAAATAATAATCTCATACCAACATACAGTTGATTTAATAATAGTTTGACTTTAATCTAATTTAAAATTAAAGTATTGTTTAATTTGATTTTAAAAATTAGAAACGGATACGGATTTATCCGATATCCGACCGATATCCGACGGATGCGGATACGGTTTTGATTTTCAGTATCCCTCAAGATCCGTATCCAAATTCGATATCCGACAAAAATAAACGGATACGGATTTGGTAATGGCACATCCGATCCGATTAATATCCGTTTACACCCCTACCCAAATCCGAGTTTCCGAACATACCAATCAAAGAATTTGAATTAGTGCCAAAACACCCGTACCCTTAAAGGGCGAAACGTACAAATGGAGAAATTAAAGAGAGTACCTTGTTTTGGTGCTTTTCAGTGTATTTCCATCAAGATCTAGACAGTTGTATGACAAATCTCTGAGGCATGAAAGTATTTTTTACTAAATTAGTGTGCTTAGCTAGCTTGTTGTCAAAGACAAAGAAAATTAGTAAAATTTGAAAGACCACAAATATTTATTTAACGAACCCATATATATATATATATATATATATATATATATATATATATATATATATATATGCGTTTTAAATTGATTTCAACTTTAAAAGTCATATAATGACCAAAATAAATTTATAAACTAATCAGGTTCCAAATATTATACATGACAAAAAATCTTAAAAATCTTTGGTTTCCTTTTATTTTATTATCATTATTCCAAAGTTTCTACTAGGTGCCCGGTTCAACTCAAGCCCGACCCAAACATTTTTTTGATTTAGCAAATATAAAAACGCTATATATATATATATATATATATATATATATATATATATATATATATATATATATATATATATATATATATATATATATATATATATATATATATATATATATATATATATATATATATATATATATAGGGGGCGGTTCCTGTAAGAATGCACCTTGTGGAGAGAAATGAAAGTACAATCTAGCCGTTGGATTTGATGCATCGTGCGGCTCAGATTGCATCCTGCGCTCAGATTTTGAGATAGTGCATTTTCAGTGGATTTTGGTGCATTTCGACGTGATGCATTTTCAAATCATTGTGGTGCATCAAATTTTGATGCAATCCTGACCCTTAAATCTCACAATCTAAAGCACCAGATTTATTCTCATTTCTCTCCTAAGATCGCATTCTCAACAGAACCAAGCTAATTAATTAGATCAAGCTAATTAATTTAATTAATTAAAAAGCACATGCTTACACAGTTTGAAAAAATCCCATGGGATCCATCGGAGGGATGAAACCGTTGAGTTTGTTATTGCTGAGATCCCTGAAAAGCATCATCCAATACGTACGTACATTATTGACAAAGTTAATTAATTAGTTCACGCGTACACACTTCACAAACTATAATTTTTTATGAAAGCAAGTACGAAGTAATTAATTAATTACTCCCTCTGTCCCAAAATATTTTATCACACTTGCTTTTTTATTAGTCGCGGGAACTTTATTTTATTTCTACGTTTTCATTGGTTATTTGATAAAATAAAATATTCTTGACACCTCTTGTTTAGAAGAACTTTTCATGTAATTTTTGATATGTAAATTTTATTTTTTTATTTCCATACCAATATGTAAATAAAATGAATTGAAAAAACTTGATATTTTGACTTTAGAACAAAGTGTGACAAATATTTAGGGATGGAGGGAGTAATTAATTACTCCTAGTTAAATTCAAACACGTCATTCTACTTACAGATTTACGACAGAATTAGGGAGCTCGGTAAATGAGTCGGGAATACTGCCATTAAAACTGTTATATCCGAGATACCTTCAAAATTCATCCAAAAGTTAAAATAAAAAATCATAAAGATAGAAGGGAACGAAATTATAATAATGAATCTCTAATAATAATTACAGCATAATGTTATATATTTATTTATTTAGCTAAATGAAAAAAGATGAAATTAAAACAATCAGTGTTCTTACAGATGTGCAAGGAAGCCTCCCCAATTTGATTTAGGGATGGGACCGGTAAGCTTGTTTTGGCTGAGATCCCTGAAAAGAATCACACAAATAATTTTGGATAAATTTAATTAATTATTTAATTAAATAAAACACGGAATCCATGTCGTTTTACTTACAGTTTAAAGAGACCACTAATGTTGGTTATTGACTCAGGAATAGTACCACTCAACCAGTTATTTTTGAGACTCCTTCAAAATTCAACCAAAAATTTAAAATAATAATAATAATAACAATAACAAAAATAATAATAATAATCGGGGCGGCGCTTACAAAGTAGCAAGTTCTGGAGCTTGGCCTACATTTTCAGGGATGATACCGGTCAATTGATTATTGTCCAGAGACAATTCCGTTAGAAGAGGTAAGTCGAACAACTCGGGAGGAATTTCACCACATAGGTTATTTCCTTGTAGATCCCTAGAAACCAAGAGATTGAATGGGAGTGGTAATTAACAATCAGTTCACACAATTCTATTATCATTTCTTTCAAATTTTATTGGGATAAAGGCCCAATATCACGTGGACCGTCCCGGAGGATCTGCCACCCCGACACAGAGGACGCTGCGACCGGTTTGCATCCCGACCGATGGTAATGACTGGAGCCCCGCCCACGGGTCGGGACACACTTCCAAGCCCCAAGCAAGGAGACTTGAATTTAAAAAAAAAAAGAAGAAGAAGAAGAAGAAGAAGAAGAAGAAGATAAGACCAGGAGAAGAAACTTACAATAACTCTAAATGAGAAAGATTGGCAAGAGGAGGAAACAGGCCTCCCAGTTGACCGGTTAATCCCGCATTTGTGATATTACTAATTTAAAATTAAAAAAAAAACAAGAAGAAGAGGTCATCAGAGTGTCGTCATCCCACATTGGAAGTTCGAGAGCAAAATAATCGGTATTATATGTGGTTTAGCCCAAGTGTGTTATAGCCCAATCCAGTTATCCATACCACATCCTAAATTCAATTCAAAGGCCGGGCGGCACAGGGAGTAATTAAATTAAAATTTCTTGGGACCGCCCGAACAACTTACATACATCTCGGTAACAACTTCAATTGAATCACCGGCAGTGTTTTCGTAGTCTCCGCATGTAATATAGTCCCACGGTTGGGGGTTGCAGGGATCGCTCTGAGCTGTATTATTCCAGCTATTCAGAACTTTGTTTGTATCTTTCCAACTCTTCTTCACTTCCATCAAAGCATCACCTGTTCCTCCATCACACACACACACACACTTTTTTTTTAGTTCATTCCCTCTTTTTTTTGTTACTACATACTATTATAATAGTTCTTTTATTTTAATCAGAACTAAAATAAAAGAGGAAAAAAAATACCCCGGCTCGGAGTATTTTCAGTCATGGAGGAAAAATGTTAACGGTATATATATTAACAAACCTTCCAGAACGATGGCAGAGACAGATGACATCAGAACAAGTGACGACGACGACAACAACAACATTCGCTTGACGACCGAATCTGCAAGCCACATTATTATCGCCTTGTCGAATATACAACTACAGTTGTATACTACTCCGTACAATTTTATTTTTTCTCTCTTACACTAATTAGAAGAGAAGAGTACTCTTCAATTAGCCCCTCGTTTTGCGTATTTCCCTTCTTTCACAGCCCATCTTCAATGTTCAATATATATAGGGGGGGAAAACTCATAGGCCCCATGATGAAAGTATAGGATTAATAAAGCAAAATTGACCTTTTGCCATCCTCTTTTCTTAATCCACCATTCTCACTCCCAATTTCATTCAAGTTTCATACCCATTCAGAGGCGTGGACAGTGGCGGATCTAATTAATATTAGTTGGGGCCTAATGCCCCCTACTAAATTTATTTTATAAGTTAAAATTATTTTTTAAAAAAGTTATGTATGTGTACCCCCAACAAAAATTAATAAGACCCCATCTAATTAAGTTAGTTTTAAAGTTTTTATTTAATTTTTTTCGTAAATTTTATTTACACTATGTTTGGTTCAAGGAATTTGGAAGAAAAAGAAAAGAAAATGGTTTTCTCTCATTTTCCTCACCAAAATGGGAGGAATTTGGTTTTCCCTCCTCTTAATATATTTTGTTTTCTCATTTCCTTTTCCTTCCACTTTTCTTTTCTTTTCCTCTCTATCCAAAGTGGATTTTTATAAATGGAGTCCAAAGTGGTGTACATTTACACTATGTTTGGTTCAAGGAATTTGAGAGGGAAAGAAAAAGAAAATGAAAGCACTTTTCTTGTTTGGTTAAGGAAGAAAAGAAAAGTGGAAGGAAAGGAAAATGAGAAGGCAAAAAGTACTAATGGGAGGAAAAACCAAATTCTTCCCATTTTTGGAAATTCAATACAAAAATACACTCTCCTTAAATCTCACTTCAAAATCAAAACTCCCATGTTTTTCGAGACGGTGGAGTATTATTTAATTCTTTGATTCTATTTCTTTCTCTTTTTGTATAGTAAATGTGTTGTACAAAGTCTTATTTGGAAACTAACATTTCATTTGAATTCATAGATTTTCATTTCAAAAATTTTAATTTTAGATTTTAAATCACAAAGAGAGATACATAGATTTACAATTAAGTTTACTAATTAAAAATTAGAAAAATTTGATACAAATCTAAATCTAAAATTTAAGAATTTTTAAACATGAAATTTAAATTGAATATTTCAAATCCAAATTCAATTCCTAAAACTGAAAAAATAAGTATTTGTACTTCTACGTAAGCAGGGACATAGCAGTGGGAATGGAATTACAGTGTTTACCTTCACTTTATTTACAAAGAAAATAGGGTGTAAAAGTAATCTGGTGATTTGAAAACAAAGAAAAAGGAAGGGAATTCAAAAGAAAAAAAAGAAGGAATAAAAACTCTCCATTTAAATCCGCAAAAGAAGGGGAAATCAAGTTATTACTTCGGAGTAATTAACTAGGAAAGTTTAGTTAAATAACACTAAAATATATAGTAAATTTTTATATATAGCACCACAAATTTTAATTTCCATAGCTAGTACTAATTAATTAATTAATTATTAATTCTAGTGTACTTAAATGCCTTTTATATAATTTTATATTTAGTTGACTCATCACTTCCTATTGTCCTTCACCAGCCGCCGATCACAAATGTCGATTTGAGTGTCCCGCCACCACTTCCTTATTGTCCATTATGCATGATTTAATAACTTAGGCGGTTTCACTATAATAATGTCCAATATTGTTTTTAATCTCTACATATCCATTGTCAAGCATTGTCGGTTGAAAAAAAGACATTGTCGCAATTATGGGTACCCACTACATTGGCCATCAATGTCCACGCTTAGTAAATAATGTCCATAATTTTTATAATGTTTCAGAACAGTGAACAATATCCATATTTTTTACAATGTCCATAAAAAAATACAACGCCAACGAATCAAAGAAAGAGGGAATTGATAAAAGGGAGATATCTTAATTATTTTATACGGAGTATAAAATAATTAAGATACAAGGGTATTTTCGTAAATGGGTACTATTAATAATTAACTAATTAATTTAATAGAAATTTTTCTAAATAGTACTAAAACATAGTGACTTTTTCAATATACTACCATATGTTTTTACTTTCTAATGTACTATCACTAGTCATTGACTACTGGTCATTGTTCAAGTAAATGTCCACCGCCACTGGATATTGTTCAAACTAAATATCTACCATTACTAGACATTGTTCCCGCCACTACACATTATTAGACTACTATTTAGGAAATAAAAAGTGTAAGTACTACGGAGTACATTAGAAAATGACATACATTTTAGTACTATTTAGTGCAAATTTCACTTAATTTAATGTTAGTTTTGGAAAAAAATTATTTGATGCCATTTAGAAAAAATGTTAAGTTTTGATGCTATTTGTAACAAATTTCACACACACACATATACATACGTACATATACATATGCATATACATACATACATACATACATACATACATATGTGTGTGTGTGTGTATGTATGTATGTATGTATGTATGTATAGAGTTGAGATCATGTGAGGATAACATCTAATGAAAGAAATGAGAATGTTTCTAGACCCTTAGATCTACTCAGAAATTGAGATACGCTAATAGGAATGGGCAATTTAGAGATTTAACATTGCAACCTTTTCTCTCTCGTATTTTGTATTGAACGATCCGCAGAATTAAGGCAGAATCTCTCTCTTTATGCTCATGTTTCCTTTTGTAGTAAGGATATTATCTGATCAAAAAGTAAAGACTGAGGATCATTGCTTTGACATTTCTTCTTCACAGATCTGGTTCCTGATTGAGAACGAGAGGGGTTCTAATCGACCTAATCTTGCAGCGAGAGGTTTTGGAAGATCGGGGGTTGTATTTAGCAGTTCGTCTCTCCCTCTAGGTAAATTTTTCTTCTCATTAGCTTTTCTATTTATTTGTTTCTAAATTTTTGATAATATTATGCTATTTGACATTCATAGTTCTGGAATTAAAATTCCAAATGGAATTACACTATCAAATTTCACCTTTTTGTATTCTAAAATTTACGTTCTATGCAATATCCTTATGCATATGTTACAATTGTTGAATTAATTTTTTAGTTCCTCCCTTATGTTTTCTTATATTTACGTTTGCTACATTTTCAGATTCAAGTAATGCACTACTAGAGTAATGGACTGCATTATCATTTCACCGTGTTGCAAAAAAGAGAAAATTGATGGGTACAATAATTGAATATTTGATGTGTTTTGCTAATTTCACTAGTTTATGATATTTCCTGTGTTTTCAGTTGTTTCGTGTTGTAGTTCATTTACATGAGTTGTATATTATTTCCCCTTTCTTTTTAAATACTTTTGCACATAAAGTGTTTGTGAAAATGCCCGAAAGAAAACCAAGTGCAATTTGAAACTACGAAGAGTAGTTGAACGAAAGTCTTTTTCATGTTTAAATGCATAACATACGCTCTTGATATGCATGTAAAAGTATACAATTAAAATTAAGATAATGCATTTGCAGATCAAAGTGTCGCATAAAGGATGAACTGGACGGTACTCTAATTGATTATTCAATGTGTTCATGTCCATTAAAGTGACATTGTGCTACTTCTTGTGTTTTTAATTAGACTGAGCTATGCTTCAATCGCATTAGTTGTCTTTTAATTTGTTGTCCATTCAAAGTTTCTTTTATTATAAATTTTTGTTTTTGTGCAAGATATAAAGGAATCTATGAAAAACAAATTGCTGCCTATTAGCTCAAATGGTAGAGCGGTATGTGGTACGGATGTATGTTCGAATCCTACATAGGCAAATGTGTTTTCAAATTCATTTTACGCTTTCTAGAAAGTCGCTGCTTATATAGATTTCAAATTTGGGGCTTATTTGCTTCTATTATGAATATATTTAGTGGGACTCAACAGGGTTGTTGTTATGAATAATATGTATTTTTGGCTTTTGCTTTGTTTTGATTGTGCCTAATAGCTATTTGTACATGTATAGTTGGGGTTTGCAAGTGTAGGAATGGGCAGCAGGCCAGGGTCTTCAATTTTTCAATAAGTTGTCATAAGAGCTTAACCAACAAGCTAAGGACTTGTTTATGTTACTCTTCATTCTGAGACTAACACTAATACACTAATGCATTCTAAGATCAACACAATGCATTTTCAAATCACAGTGCCTATTTAATTTTCACCATTGAATTTCTTACAACACAATGACATCAAATTAGATTAAATATAATATATTCCATGACTTTCCTATCACACAAAAACTCACACTGAAGTCATAATTTACCAACACAAAAATTATTAGAATAATAATCAAATAAAATCGAAGGGTAATAAATTAGAATATACTCCGTACTAGCTATGAGAGTGCATTCTGAGTGGAGATGGAACACATATGCTTGAGTGGAGGTAGAATAATAATCAAATAAAATCGAAGGGTAAAAATAAAAATATATATATTAGTGACGGTATTTTTAATCATAAAAAATATGATTTTTCCACATAAAAAGAGCATTTTGATGAAAGTAAAAATACTCTCATTAAATAATATTAATGAGAGGACTTGTAATCTGTCATTATATGTAATTAACTACGGAGTCTATGCCCTATGATGACGGTTAATGAAAGTAAATTTCCTCTCATTAAAATGTATTAATGACAGTATTCTTTACTTTAACTATGATTTATACTCACATTAAAGAGCATTTTTCTTGTAGTGTTTAATTTCTTAGTTTTTTCTTTTTCTTGTCATAGTAAGAATATAATAATTGCAGGAATAAAAATTTAGATTTTGCTCTCTTCCTAGCTATATAAAGCATGTTGAGTCTTTCTAATCTCCAAGAAAATTCAAAATAGAGATATTTTCCCATTATTGTTTTCTGCACATTTTATTCAGAAAATATTCTTCTATGAAAATATTCCCCCCTCACCAAACCCACCCATAGTACTTTTTTTCGTCTTAATTTTCAATAAAGTAAAATACACCTTGAACCAAATATTAACTCCGAACGACAAATTTGGACACACACATAATAATGTGGTCAAAGACATACAAAGAAATGTTCATAGAATTAATAACACACACAGTGGAAACGAAAAAAGAGTGAAAATACAAGCAAGTACTCCCTGTATATATTGGCAACAATTTCTCACACATGACACTTATTAATTATAGTTTTGTCGACACACGTACTGAAGTCCCCAAAACAAAACACACTTAATTAAAAGGAAGCTTGCATGACAAAACAGACGACGACGATGATGATCAATGACGAACACACGATCACATGCATACGTTCCCACGTATAAATGTCATTGTTCGCCATCGAGAACTAACCACAACGTGCTGGGTTGTTGTTATCCGCCACAACTCTGAGAAAAGAGAAAAAAAACAACAGAGTAAGAAATGGAAAGAAGATCTTTATAAAAAAAAGAGTAAATTCCATAATTGGTCCTTTATAACATGGGGGTTTCCATATTTAGTCCTTTATTATCAAATATTACCCCCGTAGTCCTTGTTTTTATGGTACCTTTCCACAAATGGTCCTTTTTTTGATCTTCTGCCGTGTTGGTGTTAATTTAAGGAAAAATTACCCAAAATAATCCCAACTTTACTCGGTTTTTCAAAAATAATCCCACCTTTCACTGTGATGCATAATAATCCCAACTTTACTGAAATTTGCCAGTTTTGGGTCGCCGTTAAGTTTCTAACGGAGGGATAACGGAAATGCCCGTTTTAGGCAACAAAATGAAAATTGGGATTATTTTTGATGAATTTTTGTTTTTAAATTTTTTTTTTGAAATTTTTATTTAAATTTTTTGAATTACTTTCAACCTCCATTTCTTTTTCTTTTTTAAAGATTATTCTTACCTTAGAAAAAATAGATATAAAAAATAATGAAAATGAGAAAAATAACTAAAACCATACAAAACTAATCAAATAAATAATGTAATCAATAGAAATTAAACAGAAACTGGTAAGAAATAAAATAAATATTACATTATTTATTTGATTAATTTTGTATGGTTTTAGTTATTTTTCTTATTTTCATTATTTTTTATATCTATTTTTTTTAAGGTAAGAATAATCTTTAAAAAAGAAAAAGAAATGGAGGTTGAAAGTAATTCAAAAAATTTCAATAAAAATTAAAAAACAAAAATTCATCAAAAATAATCCCAACTTTCATTTTGTTGCCTAAAACGGGCATTTCCGTTATCCCTCCGTTAGAAACTTAACGGCGACCCAAAACTGGCAAATTTAGTAAAGTTGGGATTATTATGCATCACAGTGAAAGGTGGGATTATTTTTGAAAAACCGAGTAAAGTTGGGATTATTTTGGGTAATTTTTCCTTAATTTAAAGGCTAAAAGTATAATTTGACATCAACATTATGTCTAGTGACGTGTTCTGATATTGGTTAAGCGGATAACACAAAAATAATGACTATGATTGTGGGCTAGGATTCTGACGAAAGATCACATTTGTAGACTATCGTTTTCGTAAAAAGCGACTGTAATTCACAAACGATGCAAACGGAACAGCCTTTGGAATTGTGTATGACAAAAAAGATATATTATCATTGTGAAATTGCACTTTTAACCCTCAAATTAACAGCAACATGATAGAAGATCAAAAAAAGGACTATTTGTGGAAAGGTGCCCATAAAAGAAGGACCACTGGGATAATATTTGATAATAGAGGACTAAATAGGAAAACCTCCCGGTTATAAAGGACCAATTATAGAATTTACTCTAAAAAAAATACAATAGATTCAATTTGATTTATTTGTTATTTTTTGTAATTGGTTGTGTCATTTAGGACTTTAGAGTAAGAGGCTATTTGGCAACTTCTGAATAGAATAGGTAAGTGCTGAACCAGTAAGAGGTCTGAACCATTAAGAGCTAGTATATTGCTTAACTATTTAGAGCCAAATGTCTGATCAATTCAGATAAAAGGTCTTAACCATTCAGACTCTGTATTATACTTAACCATTCAGAGGCAAATCTCTTAACCATTCGGACATCTGAACCATTAAGAGGCTGAAACAAACAATCTGAACCATTAAGTGATGAACCATTCAGACATCTGAACCATTAAGAGGTTGAAACAAACCCCCCGTGACAGATTGCTGGGCTAGGATATATACTTTTAAAAGGTACATACATCAATAAAATCAATGAGCAAAAATTGAAAAATAACAACACGAATTGGAAAGAGCATACCCTGGATTGTCCTTGAATGGATTGTGTTTCAGATCTAAACAGTTGCGTGACAAATTTCTGACACATAAGAATAAATATGGAGTATATATTACTAGAGTAATAGTTTTAGAATATAATACTCCCTCCGTCCCAAAAAGATTTACACTTTTCAAAAAAATTGTGTCCCACAATCTTCTACCTATTTCTATTAAAAAATGAAATGCTTGGTTCACAAACATAATGGTCACAAACTTCACAAACTTACTATTTGTGAACTTCCATGCATAAAATTAAATGGTCTAAAATGATTTTAAAATAAAATTTTAAATCATAAATAGTAAGTTTGTGAAGTTTGTGAGTATTTTGTTTGTGAACATAGCATTGCTCTATTAAAAACTCACTTTTACCCCTTACTTTTTCAAATCATACCTATCACAGCATACATTTTTCCTAATAATCTACACATCACATTAAGGGTATCTTTGGAAAGTCAACACAAAATTATCCATCCCTTAATTTCAACTTTAATCAAAACGTGTAAATCTTTTTGGAACGGAGGTAGTATTACTTATAATCAATAAATGTTTAATTTAAGGAGCATTTTGCTCAAGTTATATTACTTATTTGCTAAGATAATTTTAAAGATGGTCAAAATTAATTTGCACTAAATAGGACTAAAACATAATGACTTTCCTAATGTAGGATTTAAACTTTTTTATTCTTTAAATAGGACTTAATAATGACCTAGTGGAATAATGATTACTTGATAATGACCAAAGGTCCTACATAGGGAAATAAAAATATATAGTCCTATATTGGGAAGTCATTATGTTTTAATCCTATTTAGATAAATTTCTCTTTGAAAAATTGGTTGTCAAAATTTACTCTTTTAACTTTCTTGACAATACGGAATGAATTCAATCAAACTTCAACCATTTTTAAAAAACATCGTTCAGTACTTAATGATTTAACCAAATGATAAAAAAAAGATGAAGCCCATCCCCGAGGGCCTCTCAGACCTGATCGTACGGTCACTTAGACGAATTAAATTAGATATTAATCGCAAATAAGTGACAAAGATTGGAGCTCTGCATCTGATACTTAGAGAAATCCTATATTTAACATAGTTAACCCATGTCTTATCTGTTTGGCACTCTTTACTTTTGCTAACAAGGCAAGGTCGACCCCACATTTAACCAAATAAAAAAGAGAAATGCTATAGTCACAAACACTTCGGACACAAAATACACAACCTTGCCATTTTTGCACTTCATGAAATTAATAAAATGATGTTGAATAATTAAAAAGTAAACATTTAAAGACACAAATGGTAAGTTTGTGTATTTTGTGACCGAAATATTTGTGACTCTAGCATTTCTCAATAAAAAAAATTAGAAAAGCTGGTGCGTACACATAATCAATGTTGAGCAAAGCACTAGGGATGCGACCCGTGAGGTAGTTGCCGCTCAGATCCCTGAAAAGCATAATGCATTATTAAAAACATGTCATATTAAGGTCCCGTTTGGCATCAGCGTTAGAGATTAGCGTTAGCGTTTTGAAAAAGCTATTCGACGGTAGCCTTTAGCGTTAGCGTTTTCAGAATTAATCTGCACCATTAAAATTTTATCCAAAACGCTAACGCTAATCGAAAAAGCTGTTACCAAACAAAGCCTAATTGATATATGCTCTCCGGTGATTGGTAAGAACGTTTTTTATAAGCATTTTAGTTTTGGATAAAACTTTAATGATATATATATATGTGTGTGTGTGTGTGGTAGCATTAGATTAAAGATTTTTCAACTTTCACTATTAATATGGTAGCATTGATGTTAGAGAGTCATCCCACATTAGAAATTCGAGAGTAAAATAATTGGTATATAAATTCTTGACTTGAACTAACTAATCGATTGGATTCAATCTTTTAATGTGGTTCAACCCAAGTGTCTTATTGTCCAATCCAGTTATTCTTGTCTCATCCTAAATTCTATCAATTGAAATGTATTGTTAATCAATTTTAAAAGGAAAAAAAGACATGGGCGAGGTCTTGGACATGATACATGGCACCCCAAGATCGACTTCCTTGTCATATTATGATGAACACTCTTAATTTATTTGGGGTTGGCCCAAACATATTAATAATAATTTGACATCCGACCTAGCAGCTCATTTACTCAAGTTCGTCTTATATTCGTTAACCCAATTAAGCTTGCTTTAATTACCTCCATAATCTCTACTATATATAGTGATGGTGTGTGCTTGTGTTTTAACCGTGCAAAAAAACCCTTCTTCTCATTGTGATTCCTCTGTGTGGCTTTTCTCTTTCTTTGTGAGTGGAGTGTGACGAGGTTGGGTTGGGGTGTTGCTCTTTTTGGTTCTATAGTAGTACATAATTACGGACCGATTTTACGGATGACCTGAGCCTAATAGAAATAAATGCGTCAATTAAATTTGCGAGGTGCAAATGACGTGGTGGGGGAATGGATTAGAGTTGGAAGTGGAGGAGAGGTTTACCGTAGTAGGGACTATCAATTTTACGAAGGGAAAATAGTAGGTATCCCAATTGGTACGATGGCCTCCATTTTTTTAAGTCTGTCTATTTCAACTAACTTAACGAATTGAAAAAAAGTACTACGTATATCAGAAAGACGCATGCGTACAGAGTTTTAAGGCGGCCTACAGCAAAATCGTGAGGAAAGTTACCCGTGAGATTGTTATTGCTGAGATTCCTGAAAACAACGTGCAATGCAATTCAATACAATAATAATAATTAATAAAATAGAAATTGATCGTAGATAAGTGGCAAAGAGTGGAACTCGGTCTGCATCTGGTACTTACAGAGGCTCTATGTTTAACATAGTTGCCTCCCAGCGTAGTTGTAAGGAATCGAACTCGTGTCTTACGGTTCTTACCTCTTTAGCAGTTCTTATTTTTGCTAACAATGCAAGGTCGACCCCACATTTAACCAAATACTCCGTAAAAAAATTAGAAAAGCTGGTGCGTACACATAAGAAATGTTGGCCAAAGCTCTAGGGATGGAACCCGTGAGGCAGTTGCCGCTCAGATCCCTGAAAAGCATAATGCATTATTAAAAACATGTGTCATATTAATTCATACTCCCTCCGTCCTATAATGATCTTCCCAGTTCATTTTATGAGGTTTGACCGACTTTATTTTCAATTCAATTTATTTGATTGTAGTGTAAAATTTAAAAATAAAATTTATATATTTAAAAACTACATCAAAAGTTCTACAAAACAAGTGGTGACAAGACTATATTATTTTATCAAATATCTAACGAAAATAAGTAAAGAAAGTGATTAAAGTTTGACCGGTTAAAAGTGAGTGGGAAAAACATTTTAGGACGGACGGAATATATGCTCCCCCCCGCCCCCCTCAAATATGCATTTTCAGGTGGATAAAGTTACTTGTACTTTAAGGATTTGTATTTCATTTTGTACACCGCAGGTGTGCACCAATATTTTGTGTTGGTGTAATGATAGTTTTCATTAACGCACATATCAGTGTAAATCATCAAAATATTGATGTATACCTTTAGTGTGAGTTTGGAGTACAAATTTTGATGTAAATGTAGCAGGGTCCTTTTCACATGGGGCAAAGTAAGTATTAGAGGGTTTGAGGTAAGGGTGATTTGAATATTCCCCTATCTTTTAGGACACAATTTTCATATTATGGAACTCGATCTAATTGAAGCACCTAGAGTATATATGGTTCCTACCCTCCTTAAACCTTCTACCCCAGCCCCTCCCGGCTTCTTGGATTGCCGATTGACTGCCAATTACGGACAAATTCCTAGAATATGACGTAATGAGTAGATTACTAAGGAATAATTATGATGTAATAGAAAATTTAATGTCATTGAATGATTAAATAATGAGGAGAAATAATGAATGTTTGTGAACTATATATGACATTCTTTCTTTACAAGGAAATAAGAAGATTACTTAGTGACATCCAAAAAATTGAAGGAAGTGAAAAGATAAAAAAGAGATAGAATACGATATTAATAGAGTAATAATATTAGATTTAATAAATAAATGATATAAAGTATGTAACACATGTGGTTTTGATCTTGTTTGGGAACAATGTTTTCTACAAGCATTGTATCAATTGACGTTGTTGGGGAATTGATTAGAGTTGGAACTGGAGGCCGGAGAGGTTTACCGTAGTAGAGACTATCAATTTTACGAACGGAAAAGAGTAGGTATCCCAATTGGTACGATGTCCTCCATTTTTTTAAAAAATCTTTATCTGTTTCAACTAACTTAACGAATTGAAAAAAAGCACTAGGTATATCAGAAAGACGCATGCGTACAGAGTGTCAAGGCCGCCTTCAATGCTACCCAGTTCGGGAGGAATGGGACCCGTGAGTTTGTTATTGTTGAGTTTCCTGAAAACAACGTGCAATGCAATGCATTAATAATAACAATTAATAAATTATTCATTTAACCAACAAATGAAAAAAAAACACAATTAGAGAGGAAGATTATGCATATGATGAGTGCGTACACCGTCCTAAGACTAGTCATGAGTGTGAAATCCATAAGAAGTGAACCGCTGAATTGGTTATTGCTGAGATCCCTGCACGTAAAGGTATTTAATTATATCACACACACACACACACACAATATTAGAAAAACTAGCATGTTCATCTTTGAACGAAAGACATATATAAATTATGCATGCAATGTCACGCATTTTACTTACAGAGTTTGGAGCGCAGTAAGGCTTTGTATTGTAATGTAAATAGATTCACTCAAGAGGTTGTTGTTGAGCCTCCTTCAAAATTTCAACAAAGTTTTGTACTCATGAAAATAAAAATCAAAATGATAGAAAGGAAATGGATTATAAAAATCGGTGCATTTACATACATGTAAACAAGCTTTGTGAACTGGTGCAAAGCAGGCAGCATGCCGGTCAATTTGTTATTGTAGAGATCCAAAGAAACCAGGTTTGCTAAGTTGCCAAGCTCTAGAGGAATTTCACCACTTATGTCATTGTCATGTAGTTCTCTGAAAAGCAAACCATGGATATATATATATATGTATGTATGTATGTATGTATGTATATATATATATGATGTGTTAGTTTAATAAATTCATTCACATAATTCTACTACAATAACACGGATCAAGATTTATTTTGAGACAGATACATGGGTGGCTGGGAGGGTCTGCAAAGTGGCCAACTAAATTTTTAGGGTTCCATATTTTTAAATTCATCATTAATTTTGAAGCATAAATATTCTAAAATAATAAAATAGGGTTCATAATGTAAATTTTGGATCGGACCACAGATATTACAAAGTGTAAGTTGAATTTCATGTCTAAGATAAAGAACGAAAAAGAAGAAAATAACTTACAAGTGCTGTAATTCTGTAAGGTTTGCAAGATCAGGGACCAATCGACCCGATAAATGTGAACTTCCAAGATAACTGAGAGAGAGAATGTATAATAAATTAACTTGAAAATCTGATCTGATCTCTAATAAAGTAATTATAAGGATTCTTTTACTTGGGAGTTATCTTACATTTGAATCTAGCTTGTAATAAAAATATATTCCATCTTTAAAAAAATGTCACAAATGAGTACTCCGTGTCGAAAATCTTAAAATTTGTCCACTTGACTTCTTAGGGTAAATATGGGATTCCACTTGACTTCTTAGGGTCCGCTTGGTACGCGGAATTTACGAAATTAGAATTGAATTGAGAGTTGAAATTTTATTGAATTGATTTGATGGAATTGAATTATTATTCGATTTCAAATCATTTTTCACATTATCAATTCCAAATCTATATATTTTGTGCAACCAGTGCAACCAAACAGCAGAATTAGAATGGTAGTCTCCAATTCCAACTTTGTAGCTTTAATTTCATGTACCATACATATGAGACATTTCATATACTCTGTATTTTTCTCATTATGAGTAAGGGTAATTTACCTAAATAGGACTGAAACATAATGACTTTCTCAATATACGACCATGTGTTTTTATTTTTCAATATAGGACCATTGGTCATTATCTATTAGTCATTATTCAAGTAAATGTCTAGCATCACTTGGACATTATTCTTTTCCCTAGTCATTAAATAGTCCTATTGAAGGAATAAAAAAGTTTAAGTCCTACATTGGGAAATGACTTATGTTTTAGTCCTATTCAGTGCAAATTTCACTATGTGAGTAACTTGAACTTTAGATAGTACATGGTTTAAATTTGTGCTTGAGACATATAAAATCAAATTTTAAAACTTTAGATCGTACATGGTTTGAATTCCATCTCTCTTTCAGAGTACTTGTTTAACTTTAACTTTTTGTTGTTAAATTTGGTCATTAGTTAAATAAAATTTATACTACTACCTATACGTACTAAGTGTTGATTATATATATACAAGAATAATTTTATTAGATTTATCTTGTAAAATATTTTTAAGTTATTGTGTCATCTAATCAATATACCATATACGGAGTAATTTTTATGAAATTATAGGTCAAAGTTAATAATAATTGACGGTAAAAAGTCAAAACTAGACAAATACGTACTCTAGAAAAGAGGGGGTATTTTATTTGTAAAATATAATAACCATATTCTAACGAAGGTATTAAGTTTTTTGAATTCCAATGAAGGTATATCTTATACATCAATTTTATTTTAAACATGTGCTTCCAAGAAGAATTTTGTTATAATTTCCGTAGTTTGAAAATTTTTGTAATTTACACCCTATATATTTAAACCAAAGTACCGGAGTAGATGTTTTAAAAAACAAAAAACTAAAGTAACAATAATTTTTTGATAAGATTTCGTTGATACTGACATATATTGTCAATATATGATACTCGTTCATTTTGAATATTTTCGGTACTCCATTTGAAAAATTGATAGTTTTAAACCCCCTAGCTTACCCCTACACCCCTCGGCCTCAAAATATATGGTTATTATGCAATGTATAATAGCGACACATTTGAAGGAAGCGAATGGAGGCTAGGGTGGGGTGCAGGGATTAGATAGGATGGGGATGCGATGGGAGGTTGGTAAGTCTGTTTTGTACGCACTTATTTCTTCATATTTAGTGTGTTTTTATATTGTCCAATTTTGGATCAACTAAGAAATTCAGCTTATTTATGAAAGAAACCACGTAGGGGGGAAATGTTCACAAAATGTAGAACTCGCCACAGCAATTCAAAGCCGAACTTCAAAAGTCGGAGCCACTTGGGGCGCCTGACGGACGGCCGCCCAGGTGCCCGCTCAGGGAAAACGCATCATCAGTGATGTCATTCTGTTTTTTTTTTTGGAAAACCGGGGCCGGAGGCTGGGGTGACTTGCAGGGTGGCCGCCTGGAACCCCGCCATGGAATCTTGATCCCTATATAAGGGCGCAAATCGGCGAAGTTCTTCATCATCTCTCCTCTTCTGGGTCATCTACGGCTCAAACCTCCTTTCTAGCTCCAGTTTTTAGTTATATTTTACTCCCTCCGTCCCCCTAAGATGTTCTCATTTTGACTTTTGGTGGTTTTTAAGGAGAGTTGAAAAAAGGTAAAAGTTTACCATAATATCCTTAATGAAAAATGGGTGGAGTGTATTAAATGAGGTGGGTGAGGTGTAATAAATAAAGGAAGTGGGGGTAGTTGTGCTATTTTAATTGTTAAAAAATGAAATGAGAAGATCTATTGTGGACAAAGAAAAAGGGCTATTGAGAAGATCTATGAGGGACAGAGGGAGTAATATTTTAGTATAGTTTTATTTTAGTTGTCCCGAAGTGGCTCCGACTTTGCTTTCGGTTTTAAGTTTTACTCCATCTGTTTCATAAAACGGACATTTTTTCGACTTTTAAGAGAAATAAAGAGAATACATTTGTGTCTGAGTTTCTAATTTTATCCTTGATGTGATGGGTAAAAATAAGATGTCATGGATAAATTATTAGTGAAAAAATACGATGTGACAGGTGGACTAAAAAAAGTAAGGGCAAAAGTTGTTTTTTAATAGAAAGTGAAAGTATTTGGGAAAAAATAAAAATAAAAGAAAGAGTGTTTTAAGAAAAAGAGAGAATGATATTTACACCTTTAATAAAATGTTCTTTTAATTTAGTACTCCATGACATCTAGGCTAAATTTGGAATAATTGTTCTAAATTTGGAGTATGAGTTAGTGCCCAAATTAAGGTCTAGGCTAAATTTGGAATAATTGTTCTACATTTTATTTTTATTGCGAAATTAGTTAATTATGTCGAGAGAAAAAATAATTAATTATTAGAAATTAGTTTTTGCCTTGTTATGAGGATATAAAATCAATAACTCAAATTTTTTAGAACACATTTGTGGTACCTTGGAAAATGATAAGTTAATGAAATATTTGTGACAATTATATTATTATTCTAATTATTGATTAAATATGTAACAACGATAGTTAACTCAGATGATGACTTGACTCAAAATTAAATCTAGTCTTATACGTGTACTATTTTTTTTCTCAAAAAGCATTCAGCAGTGTAGTTTATTTTCTTTTCAAACTGAATCGAGAAGACTTCCAGACTCGCCCAAACCTTTGCCTAATTAGAAAAATTAGCTAAATCCTTTCATTCACTCCTCGAGCGACACGACACTCGGAGAAAACTGTCCCCTTTTGGAAAAGTTGACTACCGATAAAAGTCAACTATCAAGGGTTTAGGGGTGGGTAAGCGTGGATAGAAATCATCTATTTTGCGAAAAGAACACCTGAAGTGTTTCAAATGGGCAAGTGTCAGTTGACATTGACATCTAGTGTTAACGATCTTTGCCGATAATTTTTTAATTTAATACTTGGCATGCCTACTTTGTAATTCTAAAGTTCAAAATTTCTTATTATTTTAAATATTAAAATATTTGTAATCTTTTGGAGCTCAAGTTTAAATAAATAAATCAATAAACACAATGTTGCATGATTATCTTTTTTCTAAAAAAATACTTAGATGACTTAATTATAAAATTTCATTATACGTAACTATAATAATGTAATAATCAATATTAAGTAATACTCCCTCCGTCCCGATGTATTTGTCCAGTTTGACTTTTTTGAGTCAAATTGGACAAACTTTGTGCTTCAATTAAATAAAAATCGTAGTGTATTTTAACATAAAAGTGATTTTATTGGATTTATCGTATTGAGAACTTTCAAAATTATGTTTCATTATGCTAATATGCAATATAAATTTAAAGTAATTTGAGTTCAAAGTTTGTCCAGTTTGACTCAAAAAAGTCAAACTGGACAAATATACTAGGACGGAGGTAGTAATCCATAATAATGATGATGATAATAGTAATAATAATAACAATCATGAAAGTCGTAGGAGTAATAATAATAAAAAACGTATTATCATATTTGAATTAAAAAACTTTCCAAATAAATCTTTGAAATTACATTATAAATAATTATTAGAAGCTAATTGCTGCTTTCATTTAAAATGTATTCTAAATTATAAATATTTGAAAATACTAAACTTAAAAGAAAAAGTCTTCTAGCTAGGAAGCACAAGGTTAAAATAGATTTAAAATACTCTCTCCGTCCCATGAAACATGGGATGTTTTACTTTTTTAAGAGATTTAAGGAAGTGTATTTTGGTATTGAATTTCCAAAAATGTCCTTTGATGTGATGGGTAAAAATAGGATTTGATGGGTACATTATTAGTAAAAAGGTATGATGTGATAGGTAGGGTATGAAAAAGTAAGGGGTAAAAGTGACTTTTTAATAGAAATGAGAAGTGTTTTATGGGACGGATGAAAAAAGAAAGGAGAAAGGTTTTATGTGACGGAGAGAGTATAAAATATATATACTATCATTAGACAAAAGAGATTATATTGAGAAGTCAACTCTTTTTCCGATTCCTTCCCTATCATTAGGGTTTACGGCCAAATCCAAGTTCTTGCACAGATTCCAGTACCTTCCGAAATTTAATTCATTTCTTTGTGGGCTAGCAGCGACGGCTTGGTAGCAGTGGTGGAGCTTATCCGATTTCTGCACCTCTCCAATCGAGTCGCAATGAATAATCAAGGCTTGAATGGTATCCAAGCCGATCTGGATCAGTTAGACCTAAATGATGAGGAGACTGGGATCTCGTTCGGATCGGATGGGTCTCTAGTTCTGCAGGAGGTTCAAGACGAATCATTTACCTTGGTTGGAAGACTTTTGACGGATAAACCATACAAATTTGAAGTGTTCAAACAGGTGATGGCATCTGTCTGGAGGCCGGCGTTGGGAATGCAGATTAATCAGGGGGAGGATGGCTTGATTTGGTTCCGTTTCTTTCATAGAAAAGACGTTGAGCGTATTTTGTCTGAAGGACCGTGGGCCTTTGATAATGCAACGCTTCTTTGTTGTGCCCCTACTTCAGGCGATGAGGTAAGGGCTTCGCACCTAAATTGGCTGGAAGTATGGGTTCAGGCACACGGTTTACCTTATGGCTACATGAGCAATGCGGTACTAGAGGCGATTGGTAACTTTTTAGGGGTCTTTGTGAAATTGGATGAGAAGAACGCTACTCACATCCCGCAGAGCTTCCGAAGAATCCGGGTGAGAATTGATGTGCGTCGCCCATTGAAGAGGAAAATGAAGTTGACTAAAAAGGATAACACAGTCTCGTGGGTCCAATTCAAGTATGAAAGACTTGGAAATTTTTGCTATTTTTGTGGTATCCTGGGGCATCTGCATAAGCATTGTGCAGCGGCAGTAAAGTCGGACATTCCATTTGAGCTTTGGCCTTACAGTGATGAACTTAGAGCTGGGCGTAAAAAAGTTGCTGAGATAGGTGCACGGTGGTTGCGTGATGACAAGGAAAGCTGGGGGGACCGAGCGGGGCAGATTTCCTCGAGCGGCACTACCATACAAAATGGTGAAGAAATTCAAGGCTTAACAGCCAGGCGGAAGAGAAGGGCTAACCAAGAAATGATCGTGGAGGTGAACGCTTCAGTGTCGGAGAATACACATATGTTACCAACAGCGGGTCCTGGGTCCCAGGCCTGCCGAGACCAATGAGTCTCCTAAGTTGGAACTGTCGCGGGTTGGGCAACCGCCGGACAGTGCAGGAACTGGTAGATTTGGTATCTACTTAAAGGCCCCACTTGGTCTTTCTCATGGAGACTAAGTGTGCTAGGAAGAGAGTAGAGGATGTCAAAACTAAATTGGGATTTGACTCTTTGTTTACAGTTGATAGTTCTGGAAGAAGTGGCGGACTTGCTCTTTTCTGGAACAGAAAGAGCAAGGTAAGCTTGATATCGTACTCAAGGAATCACATCGATGTCAACGTGCTGAACGAAGGGAATAGGCCATGGAGATTTACCGGATTTTATGGTCATCCCAAATGGAGCCAACGGTTAGATTCTTGGAACTTACTTAAGAGTTTGAAAAGAGGGTCCACCCTTCCATGGATGGTCATGGGTGATTTTAACGACATATGTGCTGCGATGGAAAAGAAGGGAGGTAATCCTAGACCTTCCTACTTTATTGACGGTTTTAACGAAGCTTTATCTTTTTGTGAGTTGATGGATCTTGGTATGAGCGGCTATCCCTTTACTTGGGAATGGAGGAAAAATACCCCAGAGTGGGTGGAGGAACGTCTTGATAGAGCCGTTGCAATAGATGGATGGAGAACGCTTTTTCCTAGCTTCTATTTATATAATATTATGACTACGTGGTCGGATCATTCGGCCCTTCTCCTCTCGTTCAACGGTGTCATTGAGAGCACTAGGGCCAGTAGCTTCAGATTTGAGAATTGCTGGCTCAAAGATGAAGGTTTCAAACAGGCGTTTGAGGATGCCTGGAGCAGATGGGCAGGGTCGCCTTTTCTTGACCGACTCAATCATTGCGGACAGGAGCTGAAACGTTGGGGAGGTGACAGATTCCACAAGTTTGGGAAGAAGATTGATTCCTGTAAGAGGAAACTTGAGGCTATGCGCGGTTGTAGAGACCCAGTTTCAATTGTTTTGAGAAAGCAAGTTGAAAAAACCTTGTGTGAGACGTTGGAACAGGAGGACTGCTATTGGAAACAACGGGCTAAACAGTTTTGGGTCTCCTGTGGTGATCGAAACACGAAGTTTTTTCACAATTATGCTTCACATCGGAAGAGGAAGAACCGCATATTACGACTTCGTGACGGTATGGGAGGTTGGTGTGAAGGGAGGAGGCTGCTGCCCTTTGTTTATAATTACTTTGCGGTTTTTTTCAGGGATAATAATAGGAGGAGATGACACGACGCTATGGACATGTGGTGTGCAGAGGTGGACCATGCACGTGTTCGGGAGGATCAAAATGCTGAGCTCCAACGCCCATTTAATTGGCAGGAGGTTGAGGAGGCTCTTTTTTCCACGCATCCAGACAAATCTCCAGGACCCGATGGGCTCAACCCAGCTTTCTTCCAAAACTGTTGGAAGGAGGTGGGCCCAGCGTTATCTAACTTTGTCTTTGATTGTCTTCGCAGGAAGGTTATTCCTGAGGGCCTTGGAGATGCTACTCTTGTTCTGATTCCTAAAAAGCACTGCCCGGAAAATGTGGGAGATCTCAGGCCAATAGCTCTTTGCAACGTAATCTATAAGATAATTGCGAAGATCTTGGCGAACAGAATGAAGCCTGTACTACAGAGTTTGATCTCGGATAACCAGTCAGCGTTCTTGCCTGGGAGACTCATATCTGACAACATCCTTCTTGCTGCGGAAATTGGTCATTATCTTCGAAGGAAACAAGTGGGCAAAGTCGGATGGGTTGGGTTGAAGCTTGACATGGCCAAAGCATATGACAGGGTGTCCTGGAATTTTGTGGAGACCATGATGCGTACGTTGGGTTTTAGCGAAGCTTGGATCCAATTCATTATGATGTGTGTGAAATCGGTTAGATATCGGGTTCTTGTCAATGGAGCTCTAAGTGAGGTTATCTCTCCGACTCGAGGGCTGAGACATGGGGATCCCTTGAGTCCTTATCTCTTTCTGTTATGTGCGGAAGGACTTTCACTACTACTTAAGAAAGCGGAGGCAGAAAGAAGGATTCATGGGGTTAGGGTGGCCAATGGTGCCCCCCCTGTTTCACATTTGTTTTTTGCAGATGATAGTCTACTCCTTTTTAAAGCATCCATGGAGGAGGCCCGAGTGGTGAAGCAATGTTTGGAGGAATATGAGTTAGCCTCGGGACAACAGGTGAACTTCTATAAGTCAACGGTCTGCTTTAGCCTTAACACTGCCCATGAAGTTAAAGAGGAAATTAGCCGCTTTTTTGGCGTTACTCTGGCAGATGACTTTGGGAAGTATTTAGGTCTCCCCTCATGCATAGGCAGAAATAAAAACTTGGTATTTTCTTTTATTCTAGACAAGATCCGCCGTCGTACTTGTGGATGGAACAAACGTTTACTCTCAAAAGCCGGAAAGGAGATCTTATTAAAAACTGTGGCCCAAGCAATGCCACAATTTGCCATGAGCGTGTTCCTCCTGCCCATTGGGGTATGCCAGAAGATTGAAAGAATTATGAACCAGTTTTGGTGGCAGAATAGTGGCAATGCTTCCTCTAATATTCATTGGTTATCATGGAGGCGTTTGACAACTCCAAAAAAGTTCGGGGGGCTTGGTTTCAAGGATATCCATGCCTTTAATATTGCCATGTTGGGCAAGCAAGGGTGGAGATTATTAACAAATCCGGATTCATTAGCAGCTAAGATTTTTAGGGCAAGATACTTTCCGAAGACGTCTTTTTTAGAGGCGAAGATTGGCCCCAACCCAAGCTTTGTTTGGAGGAGTATGTTGGAGGCCCAAAGTCTCATTAAAGATGCAGGAAGAAAAAGAATTGGGAATGGGAGTGAGACCCTTGTTTGGAGTCATGCATGGTTATGGGATGAATCGAGCCCGTCTATCTCGACTCCCCGACCAGAATTTTGCCCTGATTTTCCAGTCTCGTTCCTCATTGACCACTCCACTAACACTTGGAACTTGGATATGTTGCAGCACTGGTTTTCTGAAGAAGATAGAGCCCGGATTCTTCAAGTCCCGATATCGCCAACGTTAACGGACCAATGGTACTGGGCATTGGACCCGTCTGGGGATTACTCTGTTAAAAGTGCTTACCGAAAGCTTATTGGGGAGGCATCAGACACGAGCAGTTTTAACCACTGGTGCAGGTTATGGAAGCTGAAAGTGGCGCCTAAAATCAAGGTATGTTTTTGGAGGGCGCTTCGGGATATTTTGCCGGTTGCATGTTCGCTTGAGAGGAAAGGTTTAGAGTTAGATACTCTGTGTCGTAGTTGTGGTACTGCTGAGGAGAGTGTTACTCATGTATTTGTGGCCTGCCCGGTAGCACAGAGACTGTGGAGGGTGCTGGGCGTCAAGGTTGTCAATAACCATGGTTACTGTTTTGATTCGCTACTACACTGGGCAGATTTTAACTTCCGCAGTAGGACTGGAAGGGAAATGGATTGCGTGGCAGCGGGGATTTGGGGACTGTGGAAGGCAAGGAATATGGCCAATTGGGAGAGCAAGCTGCCGACCGTGGGTATCATCGAGGCTTGGACCAGAGAGGCTTTGGGTTCAGCGCCATCAAACTGTTCAGGGCCGAAGGAACCTGCGACAGAGCCTAGAATCAGTGGCATTACATGCTCGGTGGATGCAGCCGTGTTCGAGAATGCTCGTCGGGTGGGAGTCGGTGCAATCCTTCGAGGTGAAGATAAATCTTTTATTGGAGCTTTCAACTCTTGCATTAACTGTCCTCTAGAGCCACGAGTTGCAGAAACCATGGCGATTAAAGAGGCCTTGTCTTGGATTAAAGGACATGGCTTCTCGGAGGTTAGTATTTTGTCTGATTGTGCTTTGTTGATTAAAGCACTCAATAATCCATCGAGCAGAAACACCTCGTATTTGGGTGCCATTGAAGGTGACTGTAGAGGTTTAGCTAGCTCTTTTATTTCTTTGAAGTTTTTCTACATTCCTAGAACCTTAAATTGTATTGCTCATGCTTTTGCGAGAGAGGCTGGGGCGAGGACTAATGAGTGGTGGAATTCCCCCCCGACTTTGTTTCTCATTTGATTTGATGAATGACAATCTCTTTTACTTCAAAAAAAAAGAGATTATATTGTATATATATAATCTCATCTTATAAAATATTTAAAACAATTTGATGACTATATATGTGTAAGTAGGAAAAGTAAGTATATGTCAACTAACAAGTTAATTAGAAAGTTCGATGGAATGTCACGTAGTATAAACTAAGAAGTCAAGTGGAATGTTACATGTACATTCACAGGACAAGCATTCAAGTTTCCGGCGAGGGATATTCAATTGATTTATTTCGAAACGTAATTTTCAAAAATCATACTCCCTCCGTTCTCAAAAATACTTCCTCTTTCATTTTTTCCACTTCCAACAAAACACTTCTCCTTTCTATTAAAAAACCACTTTTACCCTTACTTTTTCATACCCTACCTATCACATCATACTTTTTTTTCTAATAACATATCCATCACATTTTACTTTTACCCATCACATCAGAGGCAAAATTGAAAATCAATTGTAATTTAACACTTCCTTATTTTTGCCCCAAATCAAAATGGGAAGTTTTTTTGCAAACGGAAGGAGTATATTTTATATTCCCTATTTACACATGAAGAAAGATGATGATGATGATGATAATAATAATAATAATAAAGAAAAATAATTGGAAAAGGCTGCAGGGTCTAAAGAACAGCTTACATACATTTTGGTAACTTTACCGATATCTTCTTGGTTGCACGTAACGCGGTCCCAGTTGCAGGGGGACGATGAATTCCAGCTCTGTAGAATACCGTTCGGATCGATCAAACTGTTATGCAGTGCCGCCAAAGCATCAGCTGCACGTATGTCATAACCCAAATCGTTCATTATTTTATTTTTTTTGGCTTTAACATGCAAATACTTATAATATTCTTTGTACACAAGCATGCTAATTAGAGCATGTTTTTTCTTCTCGTTTAATAAGGGTTTTTTTGTTTTTAGTCATTTTAAAATTGAGTAATTTTTTCCAAAATGGTACTCAATAACTACGTGTTTTTCCAAATTAGATCTAGACTAATTATCGAAACGGCACTCGTTAATTGAGAATAATACTCAGTTTAGTTCCACAATTAACGGTCCTCAAAACGGCATTAAAACTTGTACTAACTTCACATAAAGGCCGAATAAATTTCAAGAATGCTACCTGAATTTTCACGAAAATTTTAATTTGGTACCTCAACTTCAAAACTTTTCGCAAAAGTGCCTAAACTTTTGCCGTTTTTTCACTAATAGTCCATTTGACCATTACCAAGTGTCACTTTGGGCCATATTGCATCCAAATTTTTATTTTTTCACATTGACCCCATGATTTCAATTCCTCTATTTCTTCTCCTTACACTCCCATAATTTATACTCCGTATTATTTTCTTTTTCAACCCACTCCCATTTCTTTCTCTCCATTCTTTTCCCCCTCTTTTCTTTTATTTTTTATTTTTTCTTTCTTTTCTTTTTTCTTATTCCCTATCTTTCCCTCTTTTCCTTTGCTTCTGTTTTTTTATCCTTTTTTAACTCTGATCTTTATTTATTTTTTATTAATTCTCACTTTTTATTATTTCTTTCCTCTTTCTTATACGGTAATTTTCTTCATTCTGTCCTCTTTTTTCCTTTTTAGCATTTTTTCACACTTTTAATTTTCTCCGTTAGGTTTGTTTCCGTTTGCTATATTTTAGTTCCTTTTTGAAATCTTTATTTATTATTTATTCCTTTTCCATCTTTTCTCATTTCTTACTTTTTGTCTTTATTTTGTTTTCTTTTCTATTTTTCTTTCTTTTTTCCTTTATTTATCTATTTCATAATTTTTTTCGTTAATAATTGTGTTATTTTATATTTAATCAATTTAATTAAACAAAAAAATCGAACCATAGGTCTTAGTTCTTTTGTTTTTTTATTTGATTTTTTTTTGTTTGTTAACCTTTTTTTGTCTATTTTTCGTATTTATTGTAAAAATGTAAATAAAACAAATATATAAAATAAGCCCTAAATAAATACATACAAAAAGAAAAAAAACAAAAAAAATAAGACAAACGAAAATTCAAAAAATAAGACATATGGTACCATTTTTCGTTTAATTTCAATTTCAAATAAAATAAAACTAATTAATAATATAAAACAAAACAAAATAAGAATAAGTTAACATAAAAAGAAACAAATAAAAATATAATAAATATCATTTTTGATTTAAAATGGCATATAAAATAAAACCCTTAATTAATAAATTAAAATAACCAAACTAAAGATAAGTGACACATAAAAGAGAACAACCCAAAAATTGGATCTAAATTTCAAAAAACTTTTACTTCATTCTTATGAAAAATTAAATATATAAAAATAACCAAAAAAAAAACATTGAAACAAAACAAGATATATAAGACAAAATAATATAAAAAATAAAAAAGAAAAGAAAAAAAGATGGTTATTTACATAAAATATAAAAAACACTTACAAAAAAAATCACAATATAACACATAGAAAAAGAAATTGATAATATTAAAATATGAAGAAAAAAAGATAAAAAACAAAGAAAAAAGATCAAAAATAAAAAACAAACAAATAAGATCGGGAAAATATGAAACAAATAATGGTACTATATGTCTTATTTTTTTATTTGTTTTTTAAAATTTCTGTTGTCTTATATTTTCATTTTTTTCTCATTATTTATTTAATTATTTATTTAGGGCTTATTTTATTCACTTATTTTGTCTAATTTTTTACAATAAAGATTAGTAAACAGACAAAAAAGTTAACAAACACAAAGAAACTTAAATAAAACAAACAAAAAAATTGACATATTTTTATATTTTTTTATTTAGTTAAATGGATTAAATATATAATAACACAGTTGTTAACAGAAAAGATAAAAGATAAAGGGGAAAATAATAAAACCAATAAATAAAGGAAAAAAGAAAGAAAAAAAGGAGAAAACAAAACAAAGGAAAAAAGAAATGAGAAAAGGCGGAAATTAAATGCAATAAATAAGAAATATATATTTCAAAAAGGAACTAAAGAAAAAATAGCAAACTAAAACGAATAGAAAAAAATAAAACAGTGAAAAAAAATTTAAAAAGGAAAAAATAAAAAAGATGACATAATGTAGAAAATTACACTAAAAAGGAAAGAAATGATAAAAAGAGAGTTAAAAAGGAACAAAAGAAAAAAAGATGCAAAAGAAAAGAGGGAAAAATAGCGAATATGAAAAAAGAAAAGAAAGAAAAAACAAATAAAAAGAAAAGAAAGGAAAAGGAAAGGTGAGATTGGTGAGAAAGAAAGGGAAGTGGGTTGAAAAAATAGAATATAAATTATGGGAGTGTAAGGAGAAGAAAAAAAAGAAATGGAGTCAATGTGAAAAAATAAAAATTCAAATTTTGCAATTTGGCCCAAAGTGACATGTTGGTCACCTAGTAATGGGCAATTGGACTTTTAGTGAAAATGGTAAGAGTTCCAGTACTTTTGTGAAAGGTTTTGATGTTCAGGTATCAAATCGAAATTTTCGTGAAAATTTGGGAACTATTCTTGAAATTTACCTCATAAAGGTCATCTCTAATTAGAACTTTTTTCAAATTAGTTTAGATTTGAAATAAAAAGTCATAAAAAGTGATCTCCCAACTTCGCCTAAACATCGTAAACCAATTAAAAGATAAGACTTCTACTTCGGTTTTTTCATATTTAATTTAATGAAATTTTTCCTCAGAAATTGATCAATTTGATAAAACATTCAATAAAAAAAGATAATTTTTTAAAAAATAATATAATGTTTAACGTTGTTCTTACACTGTTTTGATGACCATTAGTCGTAGAGACTATGTTGAACATTATTTTCAACTATCGAGTATCATCTCAGTAATTAATTTATCTTGAAGGCTGATTTGAGAAAATACGTTGTCATTGAATAGCATTTAGAAAATTTACTCTTAAAAATACTTTTTGATTGTACTATTCATGTGAAATACGGAGTAATTGTTTCTGGAAATGACCCTCCCACAGTCCCCCACCAACATAGAATTAATTTGTCAATAACAAAAAATAATATCGATTCAGATTTGTGAAAATACATTGTTATTAAGTAGCATTTAGAAAATTTACTCTTAAAAATACTTTTTGATTTTACTATTCATGTGAAATACGGAGTAACTGTTTCTGGAAATGACCCTCCCACAGTCCCCCACCAACTTAGAATTAATTTGTCAATAACAAAAAATAATATCGATTCAGATTTAAAACATGTTAGAGGGGCCAAAGACAAAATTACTGATTTTTTAGAAACTAATTAAATCTAATAAAATCATTTTAATACTAACATATATTCCCTCAGTCCCATTTCAGTCCCATAAAGATAGGGACATATTGACTAAAATGGTAAAATAAGAGAGGAATAATTCTGTGTTGATTTTTCAAAAATATCCTTGATGTGATAGATAAAAATAGAATGTGATGTGTAGATTATTAGAAAAAAGGTATGACATGATAGGTAGGGTATGAAAAAGTAAGGAATAAAAATAGTTGTTTAATAGAAATGAGAAGGACTTTTGGGACAGAGGAAGTATTTTACTTCCTCCGTCCCACAAAACATTTCTTATTTTGATTTTTAAGAGATTTAAGAATAGTGTCTTTTGGTGTTGACTTTCCAAAAATGCCGTCGGATGTAATGATGTAATAGATTAGAGTAGATGTGATAGGTAGATTAGTAGTGAAAAAGTGTGATGTGATAGCCAGGTTAAGAATTAGTAGGGTAAAAATAACTTTTTTATATAAAGGAAAAATGTTTTTAAGGATAGATGAAAACAAGAAAGAAGAAAGATTTTGTTGGACAAAGTATTTTTTACTTAATCAAGTCTCAAAATTCATCCAGTTTGACTCGAAAAAATTAAACTGGATGAATAATACGAGAGAGTGGCAGTATGTTAATTGCTACTATAGTCTATAGTGCAACTAAATTCTTATTTAAAAAAATACAGTAAATTATTTAATTGAAGACGAACCTTCTGGGTTACCAGACCCGGACGACAGCTGAAGAAATAAAGGTGACAACAAGAACAAGGATATGAACAGTGAAGTTGCGGCGGCGGAAGAGCGGTGGTTGGGGAGGTTTGATACCCGCAGCGCCGCTGGGGACATTAATATCGCCTTGTCGCCCAACAACTTCTTCATCTTCATAACCACAACAATACTCATTGAAAACGGATCGGAGTAGTGGGAGTACTAGCTGCAGAGTTTGTGTGTGTGTGTGTGTGTGTATATATATATATATATATAAAAACATATTCTTCCTCCTTCACTGAAAACTTTTCGTTTTTCTTTTTTCATCTGTCCCAAAAAATTTTCTTATTTCGATTAAAAAGTTACTTTTATCTCTATTAATTCTTAACCTATCTATCACATCATATCTATTCACTATTAACTTACTCGTCAAATCCTACTTTTACACATCACATCCAAAGATATTTTTTTGAAATTTAACACCAAAATAAGCTCTCTTAAATTTTTAAAAATAAAGCATCTCATGTTTTTAAAGATGGAGGGATTATATGGTAGTCGCTCTACTCGGGGCTTGTTCAGCTAATTGAAATAATTTTAATTTTTACTTAAGTTTTAATGCTATTTGATGCAAATATTTATTTACAATTAAGTGTTACTATGAATTATATGAATTTGTTACAAATCTAAATCTAAGATTATAAGATTTTTAAACGTAAATTTTCAATGAAATCTAAATAGGGTTATTTACCTAAATAGGACTAAAACATAATGACTTTGTCAACATATGACCATATGTTTTTATTTTTCAAAGTAAGACCATTGGTCATTATCTATTAGTCATTATTCAACTAAATGTCCAGCATTACTTGGACATTATTCTTCTCACTAGTCATTATTAAGTCTTATTTAGAGAATAAAAAGGTTTAAGTCGTACATAAAAAAAATGACTTATGTTATAGTCTAATTTAGTGTAAATTTTACATCTAAATTTGAAATCTAAAACAAGTTTCGAAAAGAATGTACTTCTACTACGTAAGCAAGGACGCATGCGGTGGGAATGGAATTATTAAGAAAGAAAATACGGAGTATGGTAGAAAATAGCTAGTCTAGTGATTTGAAAACAAAGAAAAAGGAAGGAAAGAACTCTCCATTTCATTTCAATGCGCTGAAGAAGGGGAGATAGTCAATTAAGGCCATGTTATGTTCATATCTAATTGGTTTTGATTTGATTGGAATTACTCCCTCCCTCCTGAAATGTTCTAATTGGGGCGGATCCAGAAACTTTGACAGTAGGGGGCGCCAAACAAGGGTTTGGGGGGCAGCCCCTCCAGATTTTTTTTAATTCAAACAATTCAAAAGATTAAAAATTAATGAATTTAACCTCAAAAAATTATCGAAATAGTGAATTAAAAAGTTTAAAGAATAAAATTTCTATATATGGATTGCATTATAACTTAGTTTAATTATTATATATTTTTAGTGTTTCACTTTCAATTTTATTTTTGTGATTTTTAAAAATTTGACTTTAAGATTATACTCTTTTAATAATTAAATATTTAACTTTTTTCATTTTTTCTCACTTAAAAGTCTCTAATACTTTTAATTGGGGTCTCCAATATTTTTAATTGGGGTCATAAATAATATATCTCTAAAAACATTAAAAAATCAAACTAAAAAATTAGATATATATAAAAAGTAGTAGGGGGCATGTGACCCCAACACATACAAGGTGCATCCGCCCCTGGTACTCCGTAATAAATTATAATATTAACTCATGCAAGCTAAGTTAATAAAAAACTATTAAAAAAAGAACCATCCACCAATGTATAATGTGAGAAATAATTACAGGAAATCGAGGTAATCAAGATTCGCAAATGACTCTGTAACAGGTCCAGTCAGTCTGTTGAGGTTGAGGTTCCTTCAAAACAAAACACAAATGTCAATAATTAAATAGGTTCTAGAAAATTATACAAAAAAAAATGTATGGGAGAGCATAAAAAATTACTCTTTGTCCTTTTTTAACTTCTTCCCATTTTCTCAAATGAAAATATTATTCACATTCTCTACTTTATTTTTTAATTTTACATTATTCAACTTTTTTTCTGTATATACTCAATTTACTACCACCACCCCCAAAGAAAGTTTTTTTTATTATTTAAATCTTACAATCTTGTTAAAACTTTGAGATTTCCGAGCTCGTTTGGGATTGGACCGTCCAAGTTGTTCACGTGCAATTCTAAAAAGACCAAATTGGGCAAATTGCTAAGCTCTGCCGGAATACTCCCGCTTAATTTATTCCCAATAACCGCCTAATTAATTAAAAAACACAAAAAAAGATAATTATATTAGAAGAGTGGATCGAGATTAAATAATCATATATTTTGTGCCAAATCTAATACTCCCTCCGTCCCTAAATAAACTTTCCCTTTCGTTTTTTTTTTGTCCTCAAATAAACTTCTCTTTTCCCTTAAAAAACCCCTTTTACCCTTTACTTTTTGATACCCTACCTATCACATCATACCTTTTTACTAATAATCTATATATCACATCAAGGGTATTTTTGGAAAGTCAACACAAAAATATCCCTCCCTTAAATTCTCAAAAAGTCAAAAAAAGAAAGTTTATTTAGGGACGGGGGAAGTATATAGAAATAGTGGCCCACAGCATTCTTAAACTTGGGAGTTGGCCCAAAGTGGGCGGAATTGGATTGCTTAATTGGTTTGTATAGAGATCCAAGACTTGCAGCTTCTTTAACTTGCTGGCCCAGTTCTGAAGAATTTGACCCACTTATTTTGTTAACATAAAAGTTAAATACTCCATCCGTTCCAATTTAATCTTTTCATTTTGACTTTGCTTTATTTTTAGAAAATATTGACTATGGAGTAAATTTGTCCAGAATACCCGTAATAAAAAGATTGAAGTATACAAGTTGTATGATATATCTAATTAAATCATTTTTGTAAAAATATACGGTTGACATCTAACTGATTTATAAAATTTATCAAATTTGGCTTGAAAAAGTAAAACAAGACAAATAATCTTAAAAATATATACTCCCTATTTTTCAAATCCGTGTAATATATTTTGGATTTTCATAGGTAAAAAAAACATCCCAAAGAGGAATAGATTATTTAAAAATTTTGTTAAAATAAGAATTTTATATTTTTCTTTCAAAATTAAAATTTACACTGTAATATTATGACATAGTATAATGTCATTCAACTATATTTTTTGATATTATATATTATCATTATTGGCATTTTACTAGCATTTTGAAGATAAAAACATAAAGTTTTTATTTTGAAACTTTCCCTATGTTTTACTCATACTTTAATTATTTTTCACGCTAATTAAACTTCAATACTCCGTATAATATTAGGGAGTACATCATATAACGGTTAAGATTATTTGTGACTAAAATAAAAGAAGGTACAAAACATGTTTTAAAATCATGGTAATCCTTTGGAGTATGACTTACAATTGGACCAGATTTGTAAGCCCACCCAGTTCTGGAACTAACTCTCCCGACAAGCCTGAATATCCAAGATCACTACAAGTACGTACATGCGTAATTAAATATCATCTTCAATAATAATAATAATAATAATAATAATAATAATAATAATAATAATAATAATAATAATAATAATCACTCCCTTATAAAAAATATTTCCATTACACTTTTTACTTTTCTCAAAAAATAATTTTACTTTTCATTAAAAAATCACTTCCTAATTCTACTAATTCTTACATCATCTGTCATGCAAAGCATATACATTCACTACGAAGTAATGAGAGTATTAATATGTACACATCACTTATGTCCTACTTTTACCCACTCTTTCGTTTCATAAAGCGGTTCTTAATTTGACTTTTAGGAAAAATAAAGAATGTATATTTGTAGTTGACCTTTTAATTTTGTCATTTGGGTGATGAGTAAAAGTAAGACGTGATAAGTAGATTAGTAGTGAAAAATGTGATGCAATAGGTATGAGATAAGATATAGTAGGGATAGAAATGGTTTTTTAATAAAAAGTCAAAGCGTTTTATGGAAAACAAAAAAATAAAAGAGGAAGTGTTTTAAGAAATGGAGGAAGTTTAAAAATAACATCAAAGCACAATTTGGGCAAGCCAAAGGACATTTTGAAGTGGGTCGCAGGAAACATGAACCCAGGTGCATGGAGAGACTAAATTGGGGTCCCAACTCTGAAGAACCCCATTAGGATCCACCAAATTCAACTTCAGTTTTATCAATATAGTATCAAACTTAATAATTACATTGATCACTGACTTATACATACATACAAATTGAATAAATAAGGAATTGAAAAATATACTCCCTCCATCCCTAAATATTTGTCACACTTGTATTTCCGAAGGAAAAAATATCAAGTTTTTTCAATTCATTTTATTTACATATTGGTATAGAAATAAAAAATAAAATTTATATATCAAAAAAACTACATGAAAAGTTCTTCGAAATAAGAGATGTCAAAAATATTTTATTTTATCAAATAACCAATGAAAACGTAGAAATAAACAAAAGTTCTCGCGGCTTCTGAAAAGTAAGTGTGGCAAATATTTTGGGAAGTAATCACTCCCTACAGGTCATTAGTTTATTCAGGTTTATGATTTTTGATTCATATTATTTTAGAATTATTTTATATAAGAGAAATTATCCCAGATTAAACTAAAGTATGAAACATTTACATAAAGAGGATACTTGTTAAAATTTACACAATAATGACTTATTTGATGCTATTAATTATAATGCATCCCAGATTTTCAATTACATTTTATCCTTTTTCTCCGTTAAAATCTTTGAACTACTGCCTTTACAAGTTACAACTAGAAAGTAATGTTAGTTCCTGCCTTTCCAATAGGACAGTTTAGTGTATACCATCTTCACAATTGGCTAGTAATGCTAGTTTTCACAATTGTAGTTTGATTTTTAGTAATGGGCAGTATAATCTTTTTAGTAACATTATAAAGAAAATACAACATTTATCTAAAAATAGAAGTTTTATGATTTTATATTTAAAAAAGAGTTTGTATTGTAACATTATGATACTATATACTGGAATCATGCATTGTATTTTTGGTATTATATATTGATATCATCGGCATTGTACTCTAATTTTGAGGATAAAACATGAAGTTCATATATTGATATGTTCTTCATGTTTTACTTCTAATTTAATTTTTTAACAACACATTATAGTCTCATGCGTGGATTAGGTCATTTTATATAAAACACATTTGTTTTAGTCCTATCTACTTTATTTTTTATTTATTTAAATATTATCGTAAACCTTTAAAAATAAAATTTATATACTTAAGATCTATATAAAAAACTCACAAAACATGTGATGATATGCCTATATCATATTATCAAATGATAGATAAATATATGTAAAGATCAGAAAAAATAGCATGACCACCAAAAATAATAAGACTAAGGGCCTCTTTAGTTCTTCTATTGAGGGAGACCAAACCCTCGCCTTATTTGATTTAAAAGATGAAGGTGTCGTCGCTAACACCGCTACCGCCGCCACCACTACCACTATCACTGGTACAATTTGGGGAGGAATAATTGATTGGCTGTCGCATGTGTAGGAGTTTTAAATGGAAGTAGAATAACACTGCTTCACAAAGTTGAAGAATCTAGTGAATAAAGAACGAGATCAACGATTAGATATTAACGAATCACTTAAAACTCTTCTTGTTTTGACTTATTTATTTAAACAGTATCACTCTTTAACTTAAAATTGTTAGAAAAGTGTATTCAAATATAATATAGATTCAATATGATTGGGCTCATCTAAGAATATAGTTTTGATACATTAAAATTATAACATTTATTTATTTAGATTATGTTTAATTTATATTCAAAGAGTATCAGTATTTAATTAAGAAAATCAAAACAAAACTAATTTTTAGGATGACACGGAGTAGAAGGGGTGTGGGAGACTAATTAGATTAGGCTACAATAATTCTGACACTCCATTAAAAAAAGGGCAATGCTACGTTCACAAACAGAAGGATCACAAACTTCACAAATTTACTATTTATGGTTTAAATTCTCATTTTAAAATTATTTTAGACTATTTAATTTTCTTTATTGAAGTTCACAAATGGTAAGTTTGTGAAGTTTGTGAAGCTTGAGTTTGTGAACCAAGCATTTCCCAAAAAAAATCTCAGCCTTCAATTAAAAAGAGAGGAAGCTGGGAAACTCCATTTCTCCCATCAAAATTAAGGGGAGTTGCGGGACAAGTAAACACTTTGCGCTCCTCTTTCCTCCCTTCTTTCTCCGTTTTTTTTTTACTGCAATTGGATGGGTTCAATAGATTTCATACTTCTCTCGGCTTTCCCTTGATGGACTCGATCTCCTCAAAAGTCAAAAGGGTATCTTATTTTTATCTTTGATTTCTAGCTATTTACAGTAATATGCTAATTTAGGTCTGTAGTTTTAGATTTATAATTTATTGCGAAGTTTTTTTTCATCTGTTACTATTTTACACCTTCGCCTGTCTTGATTTTCCGCCACTCCTTCCTGGTTTTACTGAATCGAGAGCTTTCGAGTCTCGATGGAGTATCATTATTGCTTTTATTACTAATATTATTATTTGTTTTTTGGGTTTATATATATATATATATATATATATATATATATATATATATATATATATATATATACTGAGTTCCGTTGACACTGGAATATTGAGTGTCAACGGATGACACCTGCCCATTTTGGGCACTTCCAGTATATATACTGGGTAGGAACCATCAATTTTGCAAAAGGACTACCGGAAGTGTGACAATATATAAACTTTTCTTTGGCGATTTATGGTTCTAATAATACAATAATACCCGACAAAGTGGAGTAGTAATTGCTATTGAATCATGTCTTTCTTTATTTGACTGAATTCCTTTGTGGATTCCATTGCACTATGTTTGGTTCAAGGAATTTGGAGGGTGAAGAAAAGAAAATACTTCTCTCATTCCGCACCAAAATGGGAGGAATTTGGTTTTCCATTGTCTTCTCGTTTTTTCCTCCCAATTTTCTTTTCTTTTCATCTACAACCAAAAAAGAAAAATAGTTTTTCTTCTCATTTTCTTTTCTTTTCCCTCTCAAATTCCTTGAACGAAATGTTGTGTTAGTGAATCGGTATATGCTTCAAGGTTTTATGTATACACATTTGCCACTTGCCAACTTGCAGGAAGCTAAAAGCATATAGAGTTATTCATTTGTAAGCAATTTCCGACCTCTGTTTTGTGTATGTTTATGCTAGTGCTGATAGTGAAATAGGGAATAAGATGTTTTATTCGAGTTTAATTTGATACGTCGATAAAAACCAGCTAATTTTATCCTGCAAATGACTCTCCCCTTGGAAAAATATTGGGGGTACATTGGGTGTTAACAACCTCTTAATTAATTAGTGAGCATAAACACCCTGGTAGTGAACATAATATGTTAATTAGTGAGCATATGGCTACAACTTTGACTCAACGAAATCTGCATTTGTCTACGAAAGTTCAGTTTTAACCATAGTCCCGACATGGGTTCATTTATGCTTAAATAACATGATCTTTAATTTGACTCAGCGAAATCTGCATTTGTCAATGAAAGTTCAGTTTTAACCATAGTCCTGACATGTGTTCATTTATGCTTAAAAAACATGGTCTTGAATCCACGGTCACACTTATTGGGAGCCACATTGGTGAAGTATGTGATTTTGATTTGTGACTCTAAGGTCAGACTTTCCTGCTTATAGGTTCACCGGCAATCACCAAATTTTGACATCTGCTCATTTGTCTTGTCAGGTTAATGAATCATGAGGCTTTACCAACAGATATATATTTGCAGTGTACTCAGTGACTGTTTCTTGTTCAGTTCGACCGCCCATTAAGTCGAATGGATAGGTCAGACAGATCAGGCTTTGTGAGTGGGGGAGGTAGCTCATTGGGATTTATCTTGCTTGCTTACTTTATTCTGCTTTACGGATCGTTCTGCTAGATTTCGTTACTGAATGGTCATGTGGGGTTGTAATGGTAATGATAATAATATGTTTCATATATCAAGCGGTGAGCTGGTAAGGTCTCGTCCTCTTGGCGATACAACCTTGCGATTGGATTGCTTTGGATATGGAGAAAGTGAGAGCTCCTCCATGGCTGCCCAGTGCAGAACCAACAGAAATGTACATATGAATAATGAAGAAGAAGATGATGATGATGGTTGCAGGTTGGTGCTTGGTCTTGGCCCAGCCCCTAGTTTTCCCTCCGGCGATCATTATTCTTATTGTTCTGATGGGGGTAAAAAAGACACTGGCTTTACTGCTCTTTTAAACCAGAAACATCCATCGGGACATGATTCAGTCCTCAGTCTTGGTTTCTCTGGGAGCATTGATCAGGTTGGGGACGATGAAGGTTCAACATCGGCCAAGAAATCAGGCGGATTCATGCCATCGCTCATTCTAGCACCGAGAATGGAAGACTCTGATTACTCGAGGAGCACGTGGACATCATCAGACCGTAATTCCAAGAAATGTGGGTTCGAAGGCTGTACGAAAGGCGCCCGAGGAGCTACCCGTCTTTGCATTGGGCATGGGGGCGGGCAGAGATGTCAGAAACCGGGGTGCAACAAAGGTGCTGAGAGCAGGACGGCGTACTGTAAATCCCACGGTGGAGGAAGGAGGTGTGACTACCTCGGATGCACCAAAAGTGCCGATGGGAAGACCGACTACTGCATCACCCACGGCGGAGGGAGGCGGTGCGGGCACGCCGGAGGGTGCACCAAAGCAGCGCGGGGTAAGTCGGGACTCTGTATTAGACATGGCGGGGGTAAGAGGTGTAAGGTGGGAGGGTGTGCCCGCAGCGCGGAAGGTCAGGTGGGGCTCTGCATCTCTCACGGCGGCGGCCGCCGTTGCCAATACGCTGGCGGCTGCGGAAAGGGCGCCCAGGGTTCCACCTCCTTCTGCAAAGCCCACGGCGGGGGGAAACGGTGTGCGTTTTCCGGGTGCACCAAAGGCGCCGAGGGGACCACACCCCATTGCAAGGCGCACGGCGGGGGGAAGCGGTGCCACTTCGACGGCGGCGGGGTATGCCCGAAGAGCGTGCACGGGGGGACGAGCTTTTGCGTGGCCCACGGCGGCGGGAAGCGGTGTGTGGTGCCGGGGTGCACGAAGAGCGCCCGGGGGCGAACGGAGTGTTGCGTGAGGCACGGCGGGGGGAAGCGGTGCGGGGTGGAGAGGTGCGGGAAGAGCGCCCAAGGGAGCACCGGCCTGTGCAAGGCTCACGGGGGTGGGAAGCGGTGCGGTTGGGAGGGGGAGAAATGCGAGAAGTTTGCGAGGGGGAAAGGGGGGCTCTGCGCTTCACACGGCAGTTTGGTCTATGGGAGGGGGAGAAGCGGAGGCGGCGGGGGAACCTCAGACTCCGACATGTTTCCTCCCTTCTCCTTCTCCGGGTCAGGGAAGCCACCGGAGAAGAGCTTTGAATTCGCAATTCCGGAGGGGAGAGTCCACGGCGGCGGCCTTATGTCGTTGTTTGGAGGGAACCTGAAGAACACCGTTGTTTATAAAGAATAATTTAAAATAATGATTTTTTTTAGAAACTGTGTTCGAACACAGTAAAAATGTAGAGTATGCAATAAATCCAAACGCGGGTAACGCTGTTGCCCGAACTAGGGGAAAACAACAATGGATTGTACCGAAGAAAACTGGCGTGTTTGTTGCAGAATGAAATTACTTTTTGCATCAGTGATGAAATTGTAATTTGAGATTCGGAAATTTACGTAAATAGCACTAAAACATATTGATCACATGTGGTTTTTTTCTAATGTAGCACTTTTAGTAATAATTCATCAGTCATTATTCAAGTAAATATTCGCTATCACTGGACATTATTAAGTGTTATTTAGTGAATAAAATAGTTTAAGTGCTATTTAAGGAAATGACTTAAATTTTGTTGTTGTTGTTGTGTAAATTTTTCTTTGTAATTATCAATAATAAGCACTGTTTTTGTGTTTTTGGGTGCCATAATTAAAGGAATTACACTAGCTTCATGCTAGGAAAAACCAAAATAATACTCCCTTCGTCCACAAATAAATTTTACGTTTACTTTTCACATGGTCAAATTTTATTCACTTTGTTATTCTATTTTCGTCACTCATTTGATAAAATAATATAGTCATGTCACCTTTAGTTTTATAGATGTTTTGATATAATTTTTTAATATGTAATTTTTATTTTTAAATTTTGCATCATTTTTCATATAAAATCACTTGAAAATAACTTCAGTCAAATATCATAACACGCAACTGGAAGTTTATTTATGAATAGAGGGAGTATAAAAAATTTGCACTAAATAAGACTAAAACGAAAGTCATTTTCTAATAGAATTTAAACTTTTTTATTCCGGAATTATTTGTATTATGGTTCACAAGCACAAGGTATCTCTGTTTGCCTGAGGTACACCATTTTAAGGGAAAAAGTTTGGAAAATTCATCACACTACCATAAGGCCGTAGGGTGTGCAAAAAGGGAAGGTGAGGTGACATGCGGGAGGGAAGGAGAACACAACCCCCCTTGCTGGAATGGGAAGAGCGAAAGCTCCTCCATGTTTTCCCGTCCAATTTTAAGACTTTTCTTTTTTTGGCTTCCTCATTCTTCCTTCTTTTTTGTTGCTTCTTTCTTTTATCTATTTTGTTGTTTCTTTTTTTAGTTTTTAATATTGATTTTTTGAATTTTTTTTAGTCTTTTAGTTTTTTTCTTTCTTTTTTTATATTGAGTTTTGTAAGATTGAAATATTTAAATTTATTGTATATATTTAGTTTAATTATTTAAATTAAATTAAGTATTAAAAAATAATATTAAAATTGAATAATGAATTTTTATTATTTTATGTTTTTAGTTTAATTATTCAAATTAAAATAAGGGTTAAAAAATAATTGAAAAGTAAATCTTTATTGTTTTTGAGCATTTAGTTTAATTATATAAATTTAAATAAGTGTTATAAAATAAAACTAATTATTTTGAAAAATTAACTATCGGGTACCTCACATTTTTAAAATATACTTCTAGGTATTCTCTATTTTGAAAACTAACTACCACGTATCTTACATTTTTAAAATATAATCCGGAGTATCTCCAAATATACATTAACTTATACATGAAAGATATTTTGTCTCACTCTCCGTCAAAATTAGTTACACCATTAATTTTGAAAAACAGAGGTTTGAAATTTTAAATATAACCTTGATTCTTATATTTAAAAATATATACAATATCAAAGCTGAAAAAAGATGTACGTCACATAAAAAGTATAAATGACTTATCCCGAACACTTGGTCGGGTGAAGTGTCAGCCATGTAGGATTCATTATTTGACCGTAAAGTCAACATTGACTAATGGTATTTTTGCATGCAAATATGCAATGTTTTCTCTCTGTTTCCGTTTCAGAGGTTTCCCGGCGAGGGAAATCCGTGTATAAATATCGCCGGTATACACCTTTTCCCAGATAGGCGATTCAGATTGAAGCTTTTACAGCTGCTCTGGACTTCCGGTTCTTGTTCAAACCCTAAAAGGCAGTCGTTTTTGCAGAGTATCATCTCCAATCTTTCTTGCACGCCTTCATATCTTCGTCATCAAGATCTTCTAAACTTTTGCTCGTTTGATTCTCTGTTTACAGATTCTCGTTTCTGCAGATTCGAACTCCGCCATTGGTAATACCGCTCCGACTTGAATTCTTCTAATCCTTTCTTTCTCAAATAGATTATGTTTTTTGAATTCAAATTCCGAATCCCGCGCATTCATACAATTCTGTGGATTTTGATTTGTTTGAGTTCTAGAGTTTATTATCACGCATACAGATTCTGCCGTCTTCATGTGTTCTATGATTCTCGGCCTTGTTTTAGTTCAGAGTCTGGAAATTTTAGGTTGAAATTGAGAAGGCGCGCTGAAAGGGGGAGAATTGCGATTCCGAACTGTTATAGTTTTTGTAATTCATTTTTTTACTATCATGTAGATGTAATTGCAGAAGAGAATTCATGGAAAACCTCTACGGCGGGCGTAATGAACCGAAAACTCCGACAATCAAGTATCTCGACGGCAAGGTGTTGCCGGTCGGTATCGGCCGCGGTCTATTTGAAGCTCCGATACCGCTGAGTCCAGTTTTCGATCCCTACATCTCGTCTGGGAGCTCTAATTCGCCGAGTTCGTTGTCTCCGTTTTTCCGCCGATCCGGATCGGGCGTGCCGTTTGACCTAAGCGATGGCGGCGGCGGTAGAGGAGTAGGGTTTCGTTCGCCTCTGGCTTCGATCGAGAACCTGGTGCCGCAACCGTCGCGGTCTCCGATTGCGTCGTTGTTAAAGACTCCGGTGAAAGTCGAGGAGGACGTGATTGTCATGGACGGCATTCTCGTTAAGCAGAAAGGCAGTAGTACCAGATCGAGAGGGACGTCATCAGATTCAGGCGATAAGAATAGCTTCTACAAGAGGGACAAGTGCTTGTTCTGGGAGGAGTCTGGTTCTTGCCGCTTAGGTTCAAAGTGCCAGGTTCATCTCTTAATCAATGCCAAGATAATCTCAAACATCTTTTTCATGTTTGCACAATTCCATCAAATTTGCAGTGATATTATGTTCTGCTTTCTCTCTAATCTTTGCATTTATCAGTCAACTTGAACCCTACTGATCTTGAATTTATGTGAAAATGTTGACACAGTTTGCACATGGACAGGAAGAATTGCGTCCGGCTCGTCACGCCTCCAAGGTATGAAAAATATTGAATCCGATCGATTTTTGCAACTAATCAGAATCAGCAACGGGTTTTATCTGTACAAAAACAATGACAGATCTGCAAGTCATTCAATCTGGGGTCATGTTCTTATGGCACGAAGTGCAGATTTGTTCATCAGCAAGAGCCAATGGAGGCCAATTCAGCAGTTCTATCCCCAGCTGCTGGAGCTAAAGTGGGCTTCCCTGTCACACATACTGAATCCCAACAGCCTGCAGCTAGTGGAGGGAGTAACATCACCCCTACAAGTGCTTCTGGAGGGAATTATAGCACCTCTACAAGGGCTTCTTCTTCTACTGCTGGACAAACTTCTGGAGGGAATTATAGCACCCCTACAAGGGCTTCTTCTTCTACTGCTGGACAAACTTCTGGAGGGAATTATAGCACCCCTATAAGGGTTTCTTCCCATACTGCTGCACAAGCTTCTGGAGGGAATAACAGAACCTCTACAAGGGCTTCTTCTTCTACTGCTGGACAAGCTTCTGGAGGGAATAATAGCACCTCTACAAGGGCTTCTTCTTCTACAGCTGCACAAGCTTCTGGAGGGAACAATAGCACTTCTACAAGGGCTTCTTCTTCTGGTACACATACCAAATCCCAACAACCAGCTTCTGGAGGGAATGAATTCACCTCTACAAGTGCTTCTTCTTCTGCTGCACAAGCTTCTGTAAACACTGGCTGGTCTCCACTGGATGATGGTGTCCAGATCACCTTTCCTGAAAAAACTCCAATCGGGGAAGATGTTGATGCTTATATTCAGCGTGTTCTCTATGTCCCTTCTTGTAGAAAGAGATTGCCTGCTTTCGTTGAGATTTGCCCGGAGTAAAGTGATCTGCCCTCCTCATGTCCTACCGGTAATTCCATCTCAGTCTTTCCAATTAACCACAATAAACAACCAACACATACGATTCTTTGCTATCAATCCGAAAGCACATTATATCATAAGCTGGGGACACCAAAGAAGGTGAACACTACTACTACTACTACGTATTTTTTGGTCATATTACATGTGCATATCTGTCTGTATGAGGTTTCAATTAGTTTGATATACAACCAGAAGATAATAAAGTCCATCTGCATAAATAAATGGACATATAATGGAACTTCGATATGCTGCTCCTTATTGCACTTGGAATGGTAGTGATCCTTGCTTGTTTGAAGATACTATTCTTTTTTGTACTATAATCTCGACAACTCAAAAGAAACACATACATTTCGCATCGGTGATTGAATTTTCAGAAAATTGTTAGAATGATTTGTCTGGTTGAACTCTTTTGAGCGAAGGCCTTATCTTTAAGGGTTTTTGTATTATATTGCTTAACTAAGAAAGCAAACTGAGTCATTACCAACTGGGTAAAAGTGGTAAGTGAGCAGAAATCGCCAAGCTTGAACAATGACATAAAGATGAACTGGGGATTGGCGGAAACTGGCATGAAAAACCAACTCCATCTCATTGTTCAAGACTCACTCTTTCTGCTAACTTATCACTTCTTTGCCAGTTACCCAAAGCTACAGAGTTATGCAGTCCTCCCATGGGAAAGCAATGATCAAAATCATCAAATCCCACTAGGGGTTAATTCTCAACAACAAAAAATGAAATATTAATATATAATGTTATAGTATAGGAGTTTAATCACCGTTTATTCGTCTTTATAAACAATCTGTTCATCAAGATATGGACTAATTGTTCCAAAACCCTCCAAAAATTCACATGCAAAGAGACCACCTCTGGCACCCCACTAGAGGGGCAATGGCCTTACATGTCTTGCCTTGGAGTCTTCTTTGAAGTGCCTATATAGTGAGAGGTTCAAACGATTCATAGGTTCTCTAATATGTCTGGAGAATCGATTCCTAATTCATATTGCTCAATCACCTGAAGTACCAAGTGCACTATTAGACCATACCTTACTCTTTCAAATTGAGGGCCATCAAATTCTTGCCACATATGAGATAATTAGTTCGTGTGACATTGAATTGCAATGTCATGCTATGACCCGGGACACCGTAGGGGTCTCAATTAGGGCCAATGTCATCCCATGGGAATGTTGCGCTAGTTAGTTTTAACCTTTTGTTTTGCACGAGCTCATGTATAGTTTAAACTTTAATATATATGTATAACACATTGAGTATAATATTTGGTATGGTTAAATATGTTTTTCATCTCTATAAAATTAGCAAACTTTCTTTTTTTATTCCTCTAAAAAATTTCTCAATTAATTTATCCAAATAGCTTTTTGTTTCAAGTGATCTTTCCACCGATCTAGAAATGATGTTTGTAAAATTGGCGAATTTTGATTTTAATCCCTTTTTTTTATTTGGAAAAAATTATTTTTGGTCTCTAAGACATGGTTAAGATCAGCTCTAGATTGGTGGAGGGCAACTTGAAAAAAAAGTATTTGTAGGGATGAATTAATTAAAAAACTAAAGGAAAACACTAATTATACAAGGAACAAAAACATATTTAATCGTATTTGTTATATGAATACTTTGTACCAATTAACTCTATTTGTAATATGAATTGTTAATGGTAGAATAAAAGATATCTCAAATTCTAATCGAAAAAATTAACTTCTCGCCTTACAATTTCATTCTTTTAATTTTACAATGTCAAAGAATCCATTCAACAAAACATTAATTTTTAAATTAGGCGACAGTAAATTTAGAACATGTGACCTCTTACTCAGCAGGGCTCTAATATGATATCAAAGAATTAAGTTAACTAAAACTCAAACTTATAGTAGTAGATCTAGGAAAGACTATATATACTTTTCACAAGCGCAAAAAAACATTTAAAAAGACATCAAACAAACCTTAATACGTTTAACTTATACTCCCTTCGTTCCAATTCAAGTTGTTTATATACTATTTACATGGTCAAACTTTAATCATATTCTTAACCCATTTTTGTGAGTCATTTAAAAAATAATATAGTAATGTCATCTCATGTTTTATAGAATTTTTTATGTAGTTTTTAAACATGTAATTTTGCTTTTTAATTCTTTATCGATTTTTAAATAAATAGAAACGAAAATAACTTCAATTGAATCTCGTAAACATGTGACTCTTTTTGGGACGGAGGGATTGCTATTTTACTTTATTTCTTTCTCTTATATATACTCACTATTTTTTAATATAATTTATGATTATAGCAGAAAATTAGACAAAAAAGCCTACCGAGGGGTGGTCTAGACTCTAGAGTATAAAACCTTCATTAAACCAAAAACCACTTGTGTGAGTTTCTATTGAGTTGGTTCATTAAAATATATGGACTTCGAAACAATTACTGATCCCTCATTCAAGATATTAGCATTAAACATCTTACATTTAGGAAAAGTAATATTATTAGAGCATTAAACCAATATTGAAGAAACTGGCTGATGACTCAACCTATGGGCTCTCTTTTGGGTGATAGTGGGTAGAAAAGCTCTTAAAAAGATGTATATTGTCAAGTGAGGTTGATCAACACAAATCTTGCACCTTTTTTTGGAAAATTTTCAAGGTTAAAATCATACAGTATATTCAAGTGAGTTTGATCCTCAAATATCTTGCACAATTGGTTTATTTGCACAAAAGAGTGAATTCAAATGGTGCCAACCAAATTCCCAAGCTGCTTCGCCGTTGTCTGGTAAATGGACTTGTGTTAGAACTAGCTTCCGAAGCTGCCCTCCGAGAGCCCCTGATGAACTTCTACAGTTTTATCTTGGTAGTTAATTAGAGCATGACGGATCTAACAACAACAAACAACAAACAAATCCAGTAAAATCTCTAGGGTCTGGGGGAGAGAGTGTGTGTGTACAGCAGACCTTACCCCTACTCGGAGGTAGGGAGATTGTTTCCAAGAAAACAAATGTGATTCTAATGTGAGGAGAAAACCGACCTTTTGTCTATTCCGATGCTACAAAACTCCTTCACTCAACAGAGAGAGCTGATCCACAGCCAAAAAATAACTTCCTACTAGCAGAAATGATGCAAAGCCGCTGCGTGCCATTCGCAATGAAATTCCCCTGTACAATAAACTTCTATCTGATGGATGGATTCCAGTCCATCTCTCAAATCGTTTCCCGGGAAGTTCCCATTTGAGAAATTTCCTCTCCTTTGATAAATACTGCAATAAAAAACCAATACTGCAATAAAAAACCATCCAAAAAAAGGAGCTTATGCAGTTCAGTTCCTCATAGCCCCTGGCAACTGGGTAACAAGCCAAATCAGCTGAGTGGTAATTGGTAAAAGTAAAATCAGCACAAAGGGGGCATGTTTAGTGCCCCCTCCGTCTCCAAATCAACTTTACTTTCCACTTTTGGATGTCTAAAAGTTAACTTTACATTTCTCCACCACCGGCTTTAGAAAATAAATATGTGGATATAAATTTGAACCACACTTTTCACCAAATACCTTTAATTTCACAAAACTTTCATTAAACTCCATGAAGTAAAAGTGTCAAATTGATTTAGCGATGGAGGGAGTATTTTATTTCAGAAAAATCAGGCTGATTAGCCAAAAAATATGCCTACCAACTGAACTCTTAGGTATGCTCAAATGGGCTGATAAGCCCCATAATTTGGCCAAGAATAGCACCACATGATTCAATGGATTTCATCTAAAATGACAAAATTACCCTTATTTTTGTATTGTCTGTAACAAATTAAAAAAATAAATAAATATCACAGCCCATTATATCCCATCATTTCAGACAAACAAACCACCAAAAACACCAAACAAGATCCTGATTTATTTGCCTCATACAGATAGTCAGATACAGGTCAAGAAGTATAAAGGCAATCCATAGATCAATCACTATATATGTGTTTCTTTTAAAAGAAAAACAAGGTATGCTTATTGAACATGAAAAATGTAAACAAACACAAGTTCGCCACTGGTGACTGCTCTGCCATATAAATCTGATTAACATGGGAAATGGCCAGAAATATGCAGACAAATTCAAACTAGTTCTCGTTTGTGTGGACCCATAATTAATATTCACATGACAATATATGCACATTGAACACGAAAGAAGAAACTCGTCAACTATTTTGGTCAAGAAAATACACCTTAGGCACCACAATGCATTGCGAACGACTCTTTGCAGTATCAAATGAATGGGAGGCAGCAGCAGCAAGTGATCCGGAAAATCCAGCTGCAAGACTAACTGAGAAAGGAGATAATGGGCCAACGTCTTCATCATACCTGGAAATAACTAGTAAATAAGAAAGAAATTGATAAGGAAATAATGCATTCTCCTATGTGGCTCTTTTTGTGGATCATTTTAATTCAAGAAATTGATATGTTTATTTACCGATAGAAGCTTTATCAACATTAAAATAAGAAAGATCATCTATATCAGACAAGAGAAGAACTTTCAGAATATTGACTGTATAAACAAAAGTATAACCTGGGTATGGGAGTCATCCCAACAGCTTTCCAAGTAAGCATTGCTTCATGTAGGAGTTGCCAGATTGAAAAGAATATGCCACTGAAAATAGAATCTCGAACGATTCCTGACCTCATCCCTTTCCACAGAGTACCCCATCCTTCAAGGGAGATTACCTCTGATGGTCGTCTAACATGATAAACAGATGGAGGTCTCCCACACCCAGTCATCATCCATGGATATTGTCTCATGTCATTAACTAAATTGGGATGATTGTTACTCAAAATAGCCAGAAGACGAGCAGAATTGTTCAAAACCTTTGTATTTGGCGAATATCCATGCAGTAATCTCTCTATTAAAGGAGAAACCTGGTTAATTTTCATGTTTGATTCTGTTTGTGGAATTTGGAATGCAGAAGTGACCTGAGCACGAAGCTTGATAAGCTCAAAGGGGGAAGTTATGAGTGACTCTGCCACCCCAGAAACCATTCCTGCCATTAAAGCCTCCGAGACAGACAAATAATTGTTTTTTCGACCATCTGATTAAGAATTATGTTGAGGGAACACAAGTAGATAGGGTCAATATACAAACACTAACAAAATGTGTTATCATTTAAATATTAAACCCAACAATGCATTTGATATGCATGGATATTAATGCATGAACTTGGCATTTCAGCCACTTGAAAGATGTCCAGTTTGCAGTTCCATTTTCAAAGTAACTTAAACACTTGAAGAGATTAGCTAAACACAGACAATGCAATGGAATGTCAAAAGAACCAAACTCTTTTATACTCCCTCCATCTCAACTTTGCCACTGATAAAATCTCTTGTGACTCTGAGAACTAGACAGATATCATAATCATACACAGGAAGAAAAACATGCTACCTTTGTAGAATGAGGTCAGCAGTTCATAAATGCCAAAACGAGCCCCAAGACCAAATGTTCTTCCCACTGCCAACCACCCTAGACCACTGTACAAACCTAGAATGTCCCCAAACACAAATAGCATTACCCAGAGATTTGAGACAAACAAAAAGGAGACATACTTGTTTCAGAGAAATTAGAATCACAGCCATTTGGAGGCGGACGGAGTTACCTGAAATGCCTGATAATGTTTTCACCCTGTAAAGAACCTGAGCAGTTGTCAATTTCTTACTGGGATCTGAACCTACCTGTATATTATTCCAAGGAACCAACACATCAACACTTTCAACAACAAGACACACACACAAAAAGTAGCATTCCCTATATATAGAAATCATTCTGTAGAAACAAACCTGCACAAGAACTTTAAGAGTGTCGAGAGGGCAAGTAAGGGCACTACTGAAAGCAGTGGCCCATGCTCCAGCAACCAAATGGATTGCAAAAGTCTGGTCTTTGAGCATCTCATTCATCCTAAAAGGTACAAAACGCTCCATTAAATGGGTCTATATGTGTGATGCGGTAAACAGGAATTTGATATTGGGAGATAACTGTTCGCAATGGCGGATCCAGGAAATATTTTTACGGGGGGCACTTCGATCACAATATACATAACACAAGTAAATTTAAGTGACAAAAATTTAAGTGACACAAGTAACAATTCAAACAATATGCCCTTTACCTTTTACATTGTATTCTAGCCAATTTTTATATTTGTCAAACCAATCATCACAAAAATGTCTTGGCCTATTCGCTATTATTTATGTGGAAAATCATGGCCTCTTGATTGACATGGTCCTCTAATAAAATGTTTTCATCTTATTTAATCTCTTTGGTTAGGTGATAATCGGTAATTCTTTTTCTCTCTGAAGGATCCCATGGTAGATCACTTAAATCATTTTCAAAATGCATTGAAGGTGCAGATGGACCAACATTGGGTGTTGACTGTTGAAGGATCTTTTGTTTAAAAAATTTCTCCATTTTTCTAAAAATATAAATACGATAAACTACTACCAATATTATGGAATACAAAAAAAAACTATTATCTCAAATTTCAATTAACTCAATTATCTTAAAAAATCTAGTAAATTTTTAACCAAAAATAAGATAGACAAAATTAATATTTCAATTATCTCAATAATAATCTATTACAATCAATTTAATAAAAAATTTTATTTCATACAAAATACAAACAAAATAGGCTAAATAGAGAAAATTAAATCAAAACATACAAAGTAAAATATTGAAATAAATCCAGCATTAACCTAAACACCTAACTTCCTTAAATCCAAAAGGCAAACAAACTGATTTGTTAAGAAAACTTGAAAATTGAAAAAAAAAACCTGAAAGCTGGAGGTTGAAGATGACTCAGATGAACAGATGATGATGGTCACAGGTCACCGTCACGCAAATCGGCACTCGGCTTCTCCGCTAGACTACTGCAGCAGTGAAGCCGCAGAGCTCAGAAGGAAAAGTCTCAAAATGCAGATTTAGAATTCTTTTTTCACTCCGTAATTCCTTGTGAATTGAGTAGGAACAGGAGTGGGGTGAAAACCCCAAAATTAGCACTGACCCGATCTATTCTCCTTCCTTGCGCAGCACTCTTGAACCATAAACCCTACGGCGAAGGCTAATGGGAGACTGTGGCGGCGGAGGAATGACAGTTGCAATGGCCGGAGAGAGACTGACCCGAACAAGAAATGTCACCGCTTTTGCATATGCTCCGGTGGAATTCTCCCCCAACTCCCTCCTCAAAATATTACTCCGTAATTGAAAAGAGAACTGAAAATTTTAAATTGATATTCCACTTTAAAAATAAATAAAAATACTACAAATCCATTCGAGTTTCACATGCATACACAGAAAATAATTATTTTTATATTATAGATAATAAAAATCATTATTTGTCTTTAAATTATTTAGTGTGGATTTCTAATACGGAGTACGTCTTTTTAAAATACTTTGTACTCTATAAATGTTTTTTTTATAGTATTTTTGTGTGTATAACCTTCTCCAATAATGTTGTGATTCTTAAATTTTGCAACACTTTTTTTTCAGGTTTTTAAATGTATTTATGTACTCTTTTTTCTAGTTGAAGACAAACTATAAATGGAATTGAAAAAAATGAATACATTTCAATTCGAATTTGAATTTAGAGTAATACATTAGAGAGAAGTACTAGTTACTACATTTCGTTTTGATCTTTTACTGCATTATAAGTTCACCTAGGTTCTTATGACATTGTCCGGCAATGTCATGAGAATCTTGCCGAATATGAAGACGGTTCTCAAGACATTGTCCGGCAATGTCATAGGATGACCCTGAAGCACTTTGATACCTCATTCGTAATTTTGATTTTGGAGTCAAAATTTGACTCGAAAGTCTAAATTAACTTGTAGGGTGCAATTGAAGGAGTAAGGAAGTGTGTTTGGGTCGGGGCGAGGTTTACCGGAAGTTAGGGAGTGTTGGAACCGTCAAATTTACGAACGGGGCACCGGAGGACCCATGAGTTATCCAATGTCATTGGAACCCCACCGACTAAATATATATTCATTGTTTGATTCACATTGTTTTTATATTTATTAAATATTTATACTATAAAATTATTTGAATTTATAAATTGACGATAAATAAAATTATATTCCACTAGCTAACATAAACATTGTTATGGAGTATTAAACATGCATTGACTCTGTACCATTATTTTAATTTCTAAAAAATGTTATTAAATATTTACATTATATTAGAAAAAAATAAATTTATTACTAGAAAAAATTTAAATTAAATTATACTCCGTATATATTAAAAATTGAATGTTTAAGTTTGAATCTATCATGTTAAAAGTAATTAATTGTTTAAAATTAACACACATGTGGCAACTAAGAATTCGTCCATTGATTCCTATATTCCTTTTTCTCTGCGGAGAACTTCATATCTGTCTCGTTCTTGGATTCTGTATTAGAGGAGTACTTCTCCTCTCCTTCCATTACAACAATCTCTTATGGAGAACTCTTTCTCCTCCGTTTGAGTACTCCGTCCAATGCAGGTGCTCTAATACACAAAATGATTATATATATTGGGTATTGTAAAAAAGATCATAAGTCCATAAAAATATGTGAGAATGTTCACTTGTATGCTCCAATGTTTAACTCATTATGCAACAATTAGCTCTGAAGTCGTATTCGGATGGGATTCTATTTGATAAAAATCCTAATTATGTTTCGAGTTACTTATATTATTGGTGAGTACTACTTGATCACATGATCATATACAGAAGTTGTAAGAATGTGAAATTTGATTATCAACAAAAAAAATTCAATACTTATTATATTAGGAGACAATTGAGTGTGAAGCCACACTCGTATGAGGTTTGATCAAGTAGAAATTTCAATTTTTAGTTAAGTAACTCATAAAGTAATTACTACTACGTATCAATAAACTCGGTCTGGTAGGAAGCGAATATTAAAAATGTAAGATTGAAAGAAATAGCTAATTCGAAAAGTACCACATTATGTTTAACTTTAAACCAAGTAACTTTCACTTTCCAATTTTATTTTTAAATTTTATAAAATCAAAATCTGTATATATACATTTGAAAAAAGAAACCTTTATTAGCTCATCAAAGACAAGTAGGGACTAGGAAAATATGGAAGAACAACATCTCATATAAAAGTGTATATCTAATTTAAAATTGAATGACATTCAAAGTACAGAATATGAAGTTATACTTATATGCTAAATTATGCTTATACTCCGTATAAAAGTATTTTCAAAATTTATGCGTCAACAAAAAAAACATTAATTAAAATGAATTTTTGAAAAAAAAAAAGATTTGAAATACCCCGGAGTAATAAAAGAATTGCACTAAAAGAATCCATCCATACTGACCCAATGCCCTTAAAGTATAGGGTTCTACGAGTATCTTCTATATATTCGCCCCAGGCCTAATTGATACGCCAGAAAGCATCATCGTCTTCTTCGAACCCTAGCTCTCAGGTACTTGCTAAACTATGAATTATGGTTTATTTTTCTTGATGATACGTATAATTAAGAGTCAGGATCTGTTTAGATCACCCCCAAATTCTCAGTCTTTGCGAACTAGTTAGCGTAATTGCGTGTCTTATCCCCAAGAAATTTGTGAAATCGATGTATAATTTTATCTCTGCTTCAAAACATCATAGACTATTGATGTTTCCTGACAGCACCGTATGTCCATATGTGGAAGCAATTTATTTATGTATTTTTTTATGTTAATGGCAGTTGGGGCTTTACTCACGCAAGCTGTACTCGTGCATGTAGGAATATATGATTTGAATTTCGCTTCTTTTTTTTCAAGTACTTTGGTTTTCTTGTTTTGATGAGAAAGAAAGGCAGTTTGCATTTTTTTAAAAGTCTAGTTGTTAGAATAGGAGACTGTAATGGAGTAATCAGACCAGAGATGCTGTGTTAGTTATTCCACTGCATCAATGGTATTATGCTATTAGTATATGTGAATGTGAGGTGTAGTGATTAAGAGAAGTAATCTCTGCAGTAGTTCTTGGACTTGGCTATTTGATTTTTGTTTGCATCTTCACAAGTTGCTGATTTGTATTGCATTCAACTTATCAGCCAGGGGATAAACATAAGAGTGCGTGCAGCACATTTTGACATGTTTAATACTCTCTCCGTCCCAAATTAGTTTTCCCGTTTTCCTTTTTCGGGTTGCCCCAAAACAAACTTTGCATTCCTTGAAAGGAATGAAATAAGTGGTCCATATTGATTCTCTCTCCTCTCCATAAATATCAACCAAACATTTTTACTTTTTTTTAAATTACGTGAAAAAGCAAATGCAAAGATTAATTTTGGACGAAGGGAGTATTAAATTACACATAAGTGCTGTAATATTTTGACGAGTCAATGCCTAACAACACAGTTATTCTACTTATTCTTTCGATCCTGTTTCCCTTCTTCAAGCCATCTGATTTTTTGCTTTTGTTTTTGTTTTCTATTTTATTTTGCAGCAAGGAATTGTGCGTAAGATGGGGGATGATGGTAATTACCGCTGTTTCATAGGAAACCTGTCATGGACAACATCTGACAGTGGCCTCAAAGAAAAATTCAGGAGGTTTGGAAATGTTGTTGAGGCAAAGGTATGGCTTGACATAGCAGTCCTTCACTCGTTTGTTAAGTTTGCAAGCTTGCCATCTTAGTTGAGCGACTTGTTCAGCTTCTTTTATGCATTATTAGTGACTGCACATATTTGTACTTCTCTAGTCGGGATAGGCTTGATTATGATGGTATTATTAATTTGTGTGTGAGTGTGAAAAACTGTTTTGGGCATGTTCCTAGATTTTCATGTTGGTCTTGCTTGTAAAGGGACATGACTAAACTATTAATATATTGACTCAGTTATGTTTCATGATGTTTTCCATGCTCCTGGAAGTAACATATGATGATTACAGTTTACAACATTAGGATTTTCATCTCGTTAATTTGTTTTGTGAAGGTTTCAGCATAAGTGAAGTCCGGCTTAAACCATTGTCATATTGGTCTTTTGAATGAATTTATTTTGTATTCATTTCTCAAGTTTCACTTCTCTTTTGTCCCGCAATCATATCCATGTTTTTTTTTAGACTTCACCTAAGTTTCTACATTTTCAAACTTATCCTTCAGAACCCCAACCTTAGGAGGGTGTATTCAATCATAATTCTGAAAGATTTTGATAGATTGTTTAAAGTTTATGGATTATGTAAAATTCATGGATTATTTTAAGTCTGTATAGAGTTTGGTAGATTTTAATGAATTTTATCAGCATGATTTTATAGGATTACGTGTGATTGTTTATACTCCGGGTAATTCATAGAGTATTTATATAAAATACTCCGGAGTATTTTATAAATTTATACATTTTTGTAACATCAACTATTGTAATTAGGTATTAAAAAAACTTTCTTTAAATTGATTAAAAAATTAAAAATAATATAATAAAATAAAAATAATTTATTTTTTTATTAAAAAAATTATCGTTATCATATTAAATACGGAGTAATAAATTCTTTAAAATATACGGAGTACTTTGTTTTTTTTGAAAACTATACGGAGTACTTTGTAGTTTGTACCATCATCCAGAATTTTTATAACAAAGATTCTAGAAATAAAAATTAGTTGCATAAATAAATAATAATAATAGAGTAAAAGAAAAAAATTCTACGAAAAAGTTATCTCCTTAGGCCCTAGAAAAAAGAAAATAAAACTGAAAAGAAACAGATCTACTGGTAAATTAAACCGGACGGTTGCAGCGATGAACAACCACGACGGCATTGACAAACGACCACGGCGACGGCGGCAAACCTACTTCCCTCTCGCGCAAGCGGCGGCGGATATACTTTCGCCATGGGTTAGGGTTTTCAGATCTGGATTTCGTCGTCTTTCACTCCAGTGGCTAGTCACCTCCCTCAATTGTTCCTTCCCAACGATCGGACGCATAGTCTACGATGAAGCCAGGAGACGATGGAGACATGAAGAAGACGGCTAGAGGAGATGAAGAATGAGAGATGAAGAAGATGACCAGAGGAAACGATGGACAAAAAGAGCAGGCGAAGGATTTTCCAAAATCTTTAGATTTTAGGTGAGATTTGGGAATATATTTGTATTTATACTCAAAGCCTACAAATCCATCAAAATCCACATTTTTTGAAAATCTTAAAAAATCTATCAATTTTTGAATACCATCATATTTAGAAGGATTTTTTTAAATCTGAATTGAATACATCTAAATTTTAAATGACTTTTTAAAATCTGAATTGAATATCTATAGATTTTCAGAATCCAAAAAAATCCATCAAAATCCTGATTGAATACACCCCCCTTAGTCTACTGGAAGTATTTTTCCTTTGTGTGTATTTTTTAAAGGATTAAGAAGAGGCCTACATCTATATAAAAACAGTTTGAGAGTTTGAGTAAGAATTCAACTTGCCTTTCTTAATAAATTCAAAGTGTAATATACATTTTTATTGAAATTTGTGGGTTTACACTTGAGTTTACATTTTGAGAATTGTTTTCATTACTCTTATTGATCAAGGCAGTTTTTCGTCTAAAATTCTTATTACTAAAAAAGTGAAAAAGCTGTTTCCAGTTTGTTTTAATAAACCACAACTCATTTTCTTAATTATATCTAAATGCTCTCTGAAATGCGATGAGCCGGAATAAGCCATAAATAAGCTCATTCAGACAGACAATCTTGTTTTCATGATGGCTTAGATTGCTTATCTGAATGGCAATAGATAGCTCCTCAAGATTCCATATCTTTTTTGCAGTCATACATATCTTATTACACTTATTGCAATGTGCCTGTTTTTTTGCAGGATTTCTTAATAATTTCTCTTCATTCTTCTTCATTGCAATGTGATGAGCTTGAATAAGCAATGAATTAGCTCATTCAGACATATAGTTTTGTTTTCATGATGGCTTAGATTGCTTATTTGAAGGGTGATAGATAGCTCCTCATGATTCCACATCTTTTTTGCAGTCATACTTGTCTTAATACACTTATTGCAATATGACTTCTTTTTTTGCACTTTTTTTAATAATCTCTCTTCATTCTTCTTCACTGCAATGTGATGAGCCTGAATAAGCCATAAATAATTTCATTCAGGCAGACAATTTTGTTTTCATGGTGGCCTAGATAGCTTATTTGAACGGTGATAGATAGCTTCTCATTCCACATCTTTTTTGCAGTCATACTTTTATAACACTTATTGCAATATGGCTGTTTTATGCAGTTTTCTTTAATAATTTCTCTTCATTCTTTTCCCAAAATTCCCCATCATTTTCTCCATTTTCTTGTGCTTCTGTGTAAGAATTGGTTTTTATGAGTTTATGTTCACTCATTTTTCTCGTATTATTCAGGTTGTTGTTGACAAGTTTGATGGGCGTTCGAAAGGTTTTGGCTTTGTTGGATTTGATACTAAGACAGCAATGGAAGATGCAATAGAAAAAATGAATGGAATGGATTTAGATGGCCGTACAATTACTGTTGACAAGGCACAACCTCAACAGGCTTCTGGCAGAGGCTATGATAATGACCGGCCACGTGACCGTGATCGTGACCGCGGTCGTGACCGTGGCAGTCGTGATTATGGAGGTGACCGCGGATCAGGTGGGGGAGAATGCTTCAAGTGTGGAAAGCCAGGACACTTTGCCAGGGAATGCCCTAGTGGAGGAGATAGAGGTGGTGGGAGGTATGGTGGAAAAGATGACAGGTATGGTGGTGGTGGTGGTAGTGGTAGAAGCAGTGGTAACTATGGACCTGACCGCAATGGAGATAGGTATAGCAGTGGTCGCAGCAGGGATGGTGGAGGTGATCGATATAATCGTGACCGTAGTGGGCCATATGATCGTCGAAGTGGAGGTTCTAGAGCTGATTAGTAATGATGCTGCTTTTGATTTGTAAGTACTTTGGTTTTAAATGAGTAATTAATATTGTTTACCCCTTCTATGTTTTAAAAAAGTCATGTTTGAGTTAAGTACCAGCTTTAAGTTATGGATGGTTACTTGTGCCCTTAAAACTCAACTCCAAGATTGTTTGGGGTAATTCTTAGGGGTCAGACTGCGTACATCCAACCCCTCTTACCCCGCAATGGGCGGGAGCCGTTGAGGCACTGGGGTAATGTTGTTGTTTGGGGCAATTCATCAAAACCGCTTGCTGCATGACCCAGTGGCTCTATGTGAATTTTACTTAAATACTAAGGCCAACTTGTCAATCTGGAATTCTTTTTTTATTCCCAAAAAAAGTTATCATTTCATTGTGATGATGGTTCTGTGTGCCTGTGTGCATTGCAGGCAGGCTAGAAGAAAGCTGGAGGCGTGCTACTGCAAGTGGATGAAACTGTGACCTCTTCTTTGGCAGCGACATGATTGTCGATCATCAATCAAATCTTTTGAACTTGTGAAATGTGACACTAATTATCTACTCTTCTCTTTGCCCAGTAAATTGTTCGATAGTATGGTTTGTTTGGGATCTTATGCTTGCTTAATTTGCACGTTTGAGTGTGGTACCAGTCTTTGAATGCTACAATCAAATGAATGCTCTTTGTTATTCTCGCTTTTTTGAGTTGGAATTGAATGCTCTATCTGTGCTGCTGGATTAGTTGTGAAATCTCTTGCATTGAACGCCCGAAAGTCTCCCTGATGTTGTCACATGGTCACTAACTAGTATCAAGGGTTCTTATGAAACTGAGTGCTAGAGGCTGTCTTAGAAGTGGGTGGGTTTTTTATTTGGTCCTGTTCTTGTAAGTGAAAATCTGATTCTTAATCCGGGTAATCATCATCATATCCTTTCTCGATTTGGTTAGTTCTGAATCTTTGTTTTGCATTATTAATATTGTGAACCTTTTGACAGGCTACAATTGGCCCCCTTTTCGGGTATTACATGATTGGCTTCTTTTGGTAATTGAGCAAAAGATTGATCTACTGGCCTCTTAACGCTCGAGTAGACTATTTTCTCTCCATGAGTATATCAACTGGTGTCACACCTGTTTTCATTTCCCGTTTTTGAATCCGATCTTTCTTGGAGTTTGTTGTTCTATATGCCCCGGGGTTATGGAATGGATTTAAGCGATTGGTTATCCTCTTCCAATTGGTCATTTGTCTTCTGTTGTGCCCCTTTTGTTGATACTAGTAGTTAGTCTGTTGGTGTCATATTTACTTTTTGAATTAGAATTTTCATAACTTGACCGGTGATCAAACCAACTTTATATATTTGTTGAACTCAAATGCAGAAATTGAATCGGATTGCATTGGTACTCCTTCATAGATGAGTGTGTTCTATCAGTTTTTCAAACTCCTGTAGTGTTGCACCCGTTGAGCGTTTAATGTTCCACATTATTATTTGCAAGGCGTTAATTGCCTTCCTCGTTTTTGCTCCATATAAGCTTTATAGCTAGTCTTCATATATGCATGGCAGTCACCTAAAAGCTATGAGCTAATGACACGTTGCTTAACGAATGTCGCTCGCTCATCAACTGCATATCCCTTGGACATGGCAGAAGTTTGCTTGGTTGTGTTATCTTGTCCCAAATCTTTCTTCTTCACCCGTTTGCTTGGTTGTGTTATCTTGTCCCAAATCTTTCTTCTTCACTAAGTCTATAGTAAATTGCCTCTTTGAATTTATGTTCCTGTGAAAAAGTTATAATGGACTAAAATTATTATATTGTACTACATAGCTTTCTAAGATTAGAGATTAACAATGCAAAAAGATTGCATTTCTCTCTAAGGCCTTATCACATGTTATTAGTAAGCCATTTTTGTTTGGACCATAGTTTATAGACAAATGAGTTCTGGGTACAGTCAATTGTTACGTCAATTCTAAATGATATGAGTTGAACTATGTTCAATAAATCTCTAATACTTTAGTACTAATTCCTTATTAGTGGGAAAAGAAGATCCATATCATTGAGCGAGTCAAACAAATTGCTTACTATAGTAACTAGCAATTACTCTCCAAATGAGGTTAAATTGATATTTTTACCACTTTAAAACACAGATGTAAATAAGATTGGAGGAAAGTGATTGGATGGCCAACCTCATTTGAAAGAAGTACGCAGTCTCTGTGCTTGCATAGAGGGATTTGTTTGAAATAAGTTATACATAAATTCAATGAATCATTGTAATTTGTAACGTTCAAATTAATTGGGGACAGGGAGAGTACATTGCAAATTTTGAAGTATACTTTAGTTTTCTTTAAATATACAACAGTATCTCCCCGCAAACTTAGTTAGGTTGTGTTTATATAGAAGAGACCAAATTTAACAAAGACCAAATTTAACAAAGAGAAAGGAGAGTCTTAGAGAAGAGAGGAAGGGAGAGGATAATAATCATAATATGGTGTTTTGTTTGAAAATTTTGAGTGATGAAATTATGATGGAAGACAAATATATTTTGTTTAGATGGAATGGAAAATGTGCCGTGGCCATGCTACGGAAGAAACCAAATAAAGTGATTTTCTTTTTTTATTTAATATTTCGTAATATTTTTGAAGAAAAAAATAATTTTATTGAATAAAATAAAATCGTTTTATTTAAATTTTCTATTGCATCATTTATTTTATTCGTAACTCTTTGTATATAAGCCATTACTATGTAGTCATAAATCTTTTCACTAGATGTACGCAACGATTCCAAGATTATTTATAATTTTGACGTTAGGCTTAATTTATTGTTTTTCCTAAACATTTATGATTTGAAAAAAATGTATTTTATTCTTGTGATTGCAAAAACTCTATCCTTAGCAAAATTGACATGACTCGAACATAAACTTAAACAAATCATCTTATTCTTTTTCATACTCCCTATAATCAATTGTTCAACACAAAGTAAAAAGATTTCAAAGTCAAACAACTCTATGGAACATTACCAGGTGGCTCCTACACTATCACCGCCTTTCTTTTGTTCTGTCCTCTCCTCTCCTCTCCAATGAAATTGAAACCTAACTAGCACCAAGCAACCTTCTACATTTCTCTACTGATATTCTCTTAATCCCCTCTTCGTTCTTCCAAGGTACAACTCTGTCTCTGAGCTGAGCTCATTCACCTCCAGATCTCGTTCGATTTCAAGCTTTGCCCAGCACTCTTAGGGTTTATATTCGTAGTTGATCTGTGTTTGTTGCACAATATGGTTGCGATCTTACCTTGTTTTGAGGAAAAAAGACCCTTTTTTGGGTGTGTGGGTTTGTTTGATTGATTCCTTTTATGTGATTTTTTAGATTTATTTTAGCTTCTGAACTTTTCTCTTGTTTTATTGGAGGTGGATAGGAAGAGGGTTGTTCTTTTCTTGAGCTTTGGTCATTCTTGGTGGGCAAAGTTTTTGGCTTTTCCGCTTTACTTTTTAGGGTTTTCACTCGCCCTGGAAGGTGTTACTGCAAATAACTTCAAAACCAGGTAGATTCTTCAGAAAAAAAATTGTTAATAGTGAGAGCTGGTTACAAATTCCAACTATTGGGGACATTATGTCATAAAACTACTTTACCTGCCTAGTTTGAAATTGGAAGATTCTTTACACAAATTATTGTCTAGTGGATTGTGGTAGAAAATATTCAGCTTATATATTGCATTCCGTTAACATTTTGTACCGTTTTTAGTTTTTAGGAGCATTGGAATATTGAGCCTTTTTTTTTGCACAAAAGCATGTTTATCCTTCTCCTCAATACAGCTGCGTATGGTGGACCTTCTTAACTTAGCTGTTAATCTTGTTACTCATCTACAAAGTTGAATTACGGAAGTGGAGTCTGCTTTAAGAATCTAAAAAGTTTGCATGAGATAAAAAGCCCATGTGAAGCTTTAACTTTTTTTTTTGTGCTCATCTTTTTTTCATTATTGGATGGCTTTTCTTGCTTCATTCATTGTCTTTTTCATCAACAATTTATTCTCATAGCCAAGCCACTCTTTGCTTGTTTTTCCCCCACAGATTTTTTGAGAACAGATGTCGTTCCGCAGCATAGTTCGGGATGTTAGGGGTAGTTTCGGAAGCTTTTCGAGGCGTAGCTTTGATGTGAGGCTGTCCAGTGATCATCACAGGGGAAGATCTTCGAACGGTTCGATCCATGACTTGAGTGACCATAGTGGACCAGTAGTTGGGAACGGATGCTGGTCAAATCTCCCACCAGAGCTACTTTTTGATGTGATCCGAAGGTTGGAGGAGAGCGAGAGCACGTGGCCCGCTCGTAAGCACGTTGTCGCTTGTGCTGCAGTTTGCAGATCTTGGAGGGGTATGTGTAAGGAAATTGTCAGGGGTCCTGATTTGTGTGGAAAGCTCACTTTCCCTGTTTCACTCAAGCAGGTGCCTTTTCTTGATCCTTAATTGCCACTTTCATGATGATGTTTTTTGTTGTCTAGAATTAGTTAAACTTTACTGTGAATCTTTGGAATACAGTTTAAACTAATTCTTTGTAGAAAAAGAATTACTGAGCTCTGTTGATTTTTCATTTTCAGCCGGGATCTCGCGATGGAACTATTCAATGCTTCATCAAGAGGGACAAGTCTAATTTGACATACCATCTTTTCTTGTGTCTCAGTCCTGGTAACCTATTTTCTTTAACTTCTTCAGTTGTATGTTTTGTTGGGTAGTGTTCAAAATTTCGATTTTTCAGCTTTGCTTGTTGAAAACGGGAAGTTTCTTCTCTCTGCGAAAAGAACTCGACGAACGACTTGCACAGAGTATATCATATCCATGAATGCAGAAAATATCTCTCAATCCAGCAACACATATATTGGGAAATTGAGGTAATATATAAATTCAATACCATTGTTCGTAGCATCCCTTGGTCTTCTTATGACCATTTCTTGCAGATCGAATTTTCTGGGGACGAAATTTATCATATATGATACGCAGCCGCTGAGTACCAGTAGTAGTAGCGCGCGCACACTCCCTGCTCCAGGCCGCACGAGCCGAAGATTCTATTCCAAGAAAGTCTCACCCAAAGTTCCGACGACGGGGAGCTACAGCATAGCGCACATCGCGTACGAACTGAACGTGCTCGGAACGCGGGGCCCACGGAGAATGCACTGTATCATGCACTCGATCCCTTCCTCGGCACTCGATGCCGGTGGCACGGTGCCCGTACAACAACAACCCGCCGAGCTCCTTCACAGGGACGACTCGTTCCGGAGCGCCGCCTCTTTCTCGAAGTCCCTCCTGGAACCTTCCGGCGATTTCAACTCCGCCCGGTTTTCCGACATCGGCATGCCAACACCCTACGAAGAAGGAGAAGACGGGGGAAAGTCGAAACCTCTGGTTCTCAAGAACAAGGCGCCACGCTGGCACGAACAGCTACAGTGTTGGTGCCTTAACTTCCGAGGGAGGGTGACGGTTGCGTCCGTGAAGAATTTCCAACTAATTGCTGCCGCCGCCGCCAGTGGGCCACCGATGGCAGCAACCTCACGACAGTCGTCGTCTTCGTCGGAGCACGACAAGGTGATACTGCAATTCGGGAAGGTGGGGGAAGACATGTTTACCATGGATTACAGGTATCCCTTGTCTGCATTCCAGGCTTTTGCCATCTGCTTGAGCAGCTTTGATGCCAAATTGGCTTGTGAATAGAAGAAGAAGAAGAAGAAAGATTAACTTCAATTTAATTAAATATAGACGACGCTGTAAACATGTAATGCCTTGCCTGCGTTTTGCTCTTCTTCTTCACTCACCATTATAACCAGAACTGGTTTTGATAATTCTATGAATCCCACGCCTTATTTGTTTTCTTTGGGAAAACGTTTCTTGTTTTCTTTCCATGTGTTTGTTCCATTTGATGAACAGTAGCATGTTCTTCGACTCCGTATTTAAGTTCTCATTCCGTCTCAAATTAAATTTCACGTTTTCAATTTTTCGAACAACGAAGCATGCGAAAATCGACCGAAATCATTTCATCTCGCATGTTTGTCCATTTGTTTTTTGATACTTTCTTGTCCTAGATTTAATTTTGAGTAGAACACATTTAGGTGGTGAAGAACTCAAGAAAGAGTGAGCAGGGTAATTGTTAGAGTATATATACGGAGTAAAAACTAATATTGGATCACAATCACAAATTTGAGTTTTTGGTTGAATTGATCTTTTTAATTTGATATCAGATTTATCTGACTAAGAAGTCACGGGAACGAAATATTCACGCCAAAGACATATTTGAGTATATAAAAAACTAAAGCTTGCATGGGCATTTCAGTTGGTCGAGAACGTGAAATCTTGGACCGATGACAAGGGACCGAGTCCCGCAAGCGGCAGTGTGAGAACTATCCAAAAATCTCGCGGTGGGCACGGGTCTAGCGTTCTTGGCCGATTGAGTCACCATGATTTATCTCCTTCACCATTTCTGTCGGGCCAGGGGGTGGGGGCGACTGGGGTGGGCGATTCCACCTTATGGACCGAGTATATAGAAAACTAGGATAAAGCTACTTGTACCCCACTTTGTACCCCGTAGGTTTGCACCGACACTTTGTGTTGGTGTAAAACTAATTTTTGTTAATGCACCAACACTTTGTGTCCGTGTAAATTTTTGTTAACGCACAAACACTTGTGTTGATGTAAACCATCAAAATGTTTGTGTATAACTGCGGTGTACAAATGGGGTATAATATGTGGTGAAAATGTAGCATGACCCAGAAAACTATTTTGGTTAAATTGATTTCCTTGTAGTGTAGTACTAGTACTCCGTAATAAATTGAGGTGGTGGTTGATTGAGTGGTACTTGTTCCGTACGTGCATATGGCCGCCAGATCGACCAGCCATTGGTGGTTGAGTGGTTCTATCCATTCCTTTGTCATAGAAGGAACAATGTCCCAAATTTAGGACTCCTCACGTGGGCTTTTAGGACCCTTACCTCATCTTTGTCATCTCCCCAATGTCTCTCATCCATCCACATTCAACATTGCCCTTTCCCAATCCCACATACCCACAACCTAATCCACTTTTCTACTTCTTAATTACATTCTTAACCCCCCCCACCCCACCTCCTCGATTCTTCAACTCTGAACACTAGATTCATCGAGTCTCATCCATGTTAGGTTTGGAGGACGTGAATCTTGATGTGTATAAACTCGAGGTTGTCCAGAGTCAACATGGAGCCACACTCGCCCAGGCCAGGGTCATGACATTGACCAAGTCAACCGGTTGGTCCACACTCTTGAGGAGTCGATCCATGGACCGAGGGTGGACACGACGAGGCAGATGTGCACTAAAATGGAGAGCATGCAACTTAAACATATAGCCCGACTTACGGGACTATTGTAGGCATTACGTCATCAATAACCCCCATCCTCGAGGGTCCCCATAGACCCAGACTGATGGTCACCGAGAGGGGGTAAATTCGATTTTGGTCGCAGATTGATGGCAAATAGTGGAGTCTGCGTCTGATACTTACAAAGGCTCTATGCTTAGCATGGTTGTCTCTCAACGCAGTTGCTAGAAATCGAATTCAAATTTTACCCCCTTAGCAGTCTTTGCCAATTACGTAACGCCCACCAGTTACACTACATAGAAGGAACGAACCTCATCCTTATCGTACCTCACACAGTTGCTTCTCATTATAGCCACTTTTCTCAGCTTCTTCGAATGAAGATGTGAAGGAGCGAACCTCATCCCTATCGCTTCTATTACATCCTCTCAGCTTCTATTACATTTTTCTCGTGGCAGAGTAAGGAGCGATGATGACGTGTTTTGGTGGCATAATAAAGAGTGACGTGAACAACCCAACAATCGAGGGTGTTTTATAGAAATGGGAAAACCAAAAAAGAAAAATAATAAATCGAGAGAGTATGATTTTTTATATTATGTTTTATTATAGTCTATGTGCTTGTTCGACATCAATTTCATTATATTCAACTCATTCACAAGTGTCTTCCTCATTGCACATATTAACTCATAGGCTACTTAGATTGAATGTGTAACAAGAAAACAAGTACTCTGTAACTTGAGTATAAAGCTAAGGGATGATTCAATTGGTTCTAGTTCTTTTTTTTGCAATGCTATAAGCACACTAAAATGGAGTGTCTTATTTATACATCAAGAGACACATAACATTTGTGCATACACAAAATTACGAAGTACAAATAGGGTATTCTGTCTTACCCTAAGTCAATTTTTTTAACTTATCTACTCTCTCCGGTCTTAAAACTATTCATGTTTTGATTTTTTAAGTCAAACAATGACACACTTTGACCATAAATCATGAGAAAATATTTTTAATTATACTCCGTAATACAAATTCAATATCATTGAATTTATCTTAGGATAAAGTTGTGATATATCAAATTTTTATATCATTTATTTATTTAAATTATGTTAAATTTATAATTAAAAAATATCATTATTTGACAAAAAAAAATGAAATCATGAAAGAATTTTACAAAAATTGTAAGAACGGGAAAGAGCCCGTTTCCAAAATAGCATCCGAATGCAAATTCAGCAAAAGGCGGTGTAAACTGTAAGAAAGTGAAATTACAAAATTGGACGCGGAGGACCTTCTCTGGTCCTTCTCAGTTACTCCGTAGTCCGTACATTAAAATTCACTGGGCCCTATAAATACGACAGGGAAAAAAAAAAAGAAGAACCGGAGGATATTTTCGTCAATATCATTATTACCCCTACGGGGAAGAAATTCCACCTCAAGCCTCCTCAAATCCCACTCCCTTCTTCTTCTTCTTCTCCCATCCGCCACGAAACCAAATTCACTCCCTCACACAAACAGATTAACCGATCGATCGATCGAATGAGGAAGTTATCCAGCTATGCGAGGAATCCGGCAGCGGAGAGGATCGGCGCCGGCGGCGAAGTGGCGGAATCGAGGAGGCTCGTGACGGAGCCGGAGATGGACGCGGCTCTGCAACTGATTCAGCTCAGCGGCGATTCCGACAGCGGAAGATATTGCGGCGACGAGGAGAGCGTCACCGGCGCCGTCTCCGATGAAGCCGCCTTGGATGCTCGCCCGCCTCGGAAACGAAAATTCCGGTCGCTCGTCGATCTCTACGCCGCCACCGATCCCGTCGTGGTGGTCAAGTCTAACAACCGCAAGTCCGCCGGTAAGAAGAAGTTCCGTTCAGGAAGTAGATGATGCGGTTAATAATAGGCACTTCTTAGTTTAAAAAAAAAAAATATCAGTATGAAATAATAATAACAATAATAATAATATAAGAGCCTGTAGCAGTAATTATCCATAGACTTTGTATAAAAACAAGCAGCCGAAACCGTCTTTCAGAAATTTTCGGTCTCCCTGCGATTTTCATTCCCTTGCTTTTCCGATCCTTTTATATATTTCTTCGTTTTTTCTATTTGAACCTAGCTATAGCTAGCTACATGTAAATGCAAGTCTCAATCTTCATACATATCTTTAACTCATAGGTGGCCTGGAAGGTGTGCAAAGTGGCCAACTGCATAAGATCCTAAAATTTTAGGGTCACATGTTTTTAAATTTTTTTAATAATTTTAAAGTAAAAGTATTCTAAAATATAAAATATGACCCAAAATGTAAAATTAAGTAGTATTTTTTATTTATATATCAACTCAATTTGTTTGAGTATTACAAAGTTAATGTTAATCATAAATGTTGTTTTCAAACGACTCTTAGTTTTAGGGTTGGCCAAAACAACGTCCGTGGAAACGATCGACTTGTGCTCATTAGACTATGCGTTATGGGCGTGATGACCCGAGCAATGCCATGTCGTCAATTTTACGAACGGAACACCGAAACGCCTCCGGATAATCCCATGACATGGGACTCCAATGTCACGAGAATCCCATTGATTTTTTATTACTATATACATTCTAAATTTCTTTACATGTTTTCTATATTGTCTTGAATTAGTTGCCTTCCTACATTATTTAATTGTCAATTATTTTCTTTTTTTATTAAATTGTTTTTATTAACCATTTGTAAAATGACATAATCATGTCATCATTTACTTTATAGAGAATTTCAGTACCGTTTCTAGCCTATTTAGGATCCAAGGCAAATTAAATCGGGAGCCCTTAGCTTATATTAAGAGAAAACAATGAAGTACAATAAAATATTTCATTTACCCAGATGGTTATGTAGTGGCATGCGAGCACAATTAAACAGTTCGCTACAAAAACAAAGTATTGTGGAGTATATTCAATTGTTTTGAGTAAGCCACCTTTAACTTTTAGGGAGTTCTAGAGATAAAATGAATAAGGATCAAAATACCTTCCAACATCTTTTGAAAAATCTATAACTAAGACTCTAAGAGCACTGGTAATGGTCATGAAGCCCCGGGGCTTCAAACCGGGGCTTCAAACTTTCTCTCTCTGCCACGTCAGTTTTAACTTACACCCAAAATTCACTGAAAATGGTTTTGAAGCCCCGAGGCTTCAAACTGGGGCTTCAAACCTTCATTTTTTTACATTTTTAAATATACATATTCTAAATTTAAATTTATAAATTTAAATTAATTTATTATTTTAATTAATCGCAATGACACTATTGCATAAAAAAATTAAATTCATTATAAAAAAATCTTACATTCATAAAAAAAACATTTAAAAAAATTACATAAAAAAAAACAACAGTACAAAGAAATCACTAATTATTCGAACGACTAAAGATATGCTCGATCAAATCCATCTTCCCACCATTGAATACAATTCGTCGCGAAACAACGAAAAAATAAAGTTCTTCTTTCATCGTCGGAAGATGAACCCATTTTTAAATTATATTTTATAAATATTTATAATAAATAATAATTTTTTTTGAGAGAATATATAGTAATAAAGAGAGATTTGTTAGAGAGAGGTGTGAGGAAGATGTATGAGAAGGGGGGATTTTATAGGTTTTTTTTTTAAATTTAATTTTTTTTTAATTGGGTGGGGGGGGGGGGTAACGGCTCTATAGCCGTTGGGAAGAAAAAACGGCCCTCACGCCGCGTCAAACGAATGACGCAGACGCCCTCACGCCCGTTTCACGCCGGCGGGGGGCGGTGTTTCACGCCCCCGGGGCGGCGCCGTAACGCCGGTGGGCGTGAGGGGTATTACCAGTGCTCTAATTGGACCATGTTCTACTTATAAATCTCTCAAGCTTGCATCAATATTAGCCCACTTGTGTGAATCATAATATTTCTTACTTGTTGATTTTCTTTCTCATTATTTTCAAATTTTCTAAAAGTAAATTTGTTATAATCTTCTTAATAAACTAAGGCATACTATTGGATTTTGCACAAAACTTTGGGTCCCTAGGCTCCTGACTTGGTTGTTTGGCCCTACAGACGGTACAGAAGAATTCAATGGAAATTTTAAAATTTGGAATATGAATTTTATTTTAAAAGTCTGTACTATTAGTTATATAGGGTACGCTCTACATTACTTTTACCCTTAATTTACATGCAAGTCAAACCAAGCAAAAAAATAGAGAACGAGCATTCTATAAAGTGAGTGTAAGTAAAATATGTGTTATGAGATAAAGCGTGGATTGAATGGGCAAAGCCAAGGCGGTGAAGGACTCTTTGAGAGAGGTGTGTGAAGGAGAGTGGTCAAGCCCCTCCTCATAGCCCGAGATACTCCCTTTAACTTGTCTCCTAATTTAATTCTTAGTTAGATGATGAATTTTAAAAAAAGTTTTAAATAATTCCGAGCAAAGTAAAGTGTAATAAAATTTGTTTAAAACACAAAAGACTAATTCTTTTCTTTAAATGAAAAAAAGGAAAAATGTGAAAACTTTTTCGATTGATTAAGAAATGAAAGTGGTAATATAGTTTAAGATGGAAGGAGTAAATTTTATATTTTGAGTGCTGATTTTACAAAATTTAGGGAAAAATAAAAAATGAAAAACGTTTATAGTTAAAATTTATTTACGCTATGTTTGGTTGGTAGAATTCAAAGAGAAAGGAAAACAAAGAGATTTCTCTTCTTTCCTCACCAAAATAAAAAGACAATGATTTTTCATCTTTTTAACTTTCTTCTTCTTCTTCGTCTTATTTTATTGTGAAATTTGCATTAAATAAGACTAAAACATAATGACTTTCTTAATATAGAACTTAAACTTTTTTATTCCTTAAATAAGAATTAATAATGACTTAGTAGAGGGAATAATGTTGAGTAATGATGGACATTTAGTTGAATAATGACTACTTGATAATGATCAAAGGTCCTACACTGGGAAATAAAAACATATGGTCCTATATTGGAAAAGTCATTATGTTTTAGTCCTATTTAGGTAAATTTCTCTATTTTATTTTCCTTCATTTTTTTCTTTTGCTTTCCGCTCTAATCAAAGGAAAAATTTGTTTTTATCAATTGTTTTCTTTTCATCTTAAATTCCTTGACCCAATTGATCAAACACAATGTTAAAGAAAAAATTGCAAAACGAGTAGAGTCGCTGACTCCCTCATTAATTTTAATTAACTAAATATGTCCATTCTTTATACAAATCTACGATTAAAGCCTAATTTATCTTTTTTCAGTGATCATCTGATCGGGTCTGAAGGGACCCTCGGAGATTCGGAGATGAGACTCATCTATTTTTTTTAATTAACTAAAATATGAAGGCCGCGCGAATCATGTAGACGTGTCTAGGTACAAGTTCAAAACCGCGCGAAATCCATTACGCACTAATGAATAAATGAATTTTTTTACTTTCTTCTTTTACCCATGTTAATTTGTCAATTGAACACAGTACAACTCGGCAATTTGTCACATGGCTTTCCATTCTCAGATTACTTTAGTTATGACGTTGTAAAATGTTCATTGTTTGGGAAATTAATGATAACTTGGATGGATCGAGAGTTGTGTAAACACTTTCAGATTGAATATTTTGGTTGTTCACTCCAAAATTCAATCGGATAAAACTCGAATGTATCAAGAGCGAAATATGAGGATTGCTATGAAAAATCCGAACACTAATCCGACCAAGGCCTGCGGGAATTTATAAACTTGCGGCAGAGGGAGAAGACGCCTATCGCGTCTCTTTCCCAAGTTACGCGATCCTTCGCGCGGAGGTTCCCCAAAATTCGGTGCTATCCAATCGGCGGTTTTCTTTTAAAGAAAATCCGAAAATTAAAATTCCAATTGAACCCTGCTCGGGGGCGCTGCCCCCGAACCCCCGCCAAGGGGGCGCTGCCCCCTTGGAACCCCCGATGTAACGGGATTTTTATCGTAACAAACTCAATGAAGCGTGCACTCCGCACCACCAAACTTCGTTGATGATTATTAGGATACCATTGGTCATAGTTTTTCCAATTACACTAAAATATATAACATTCATTTGAACCATCAAAATATTATTTGAAATTTCAAATTCTAAGCTCCCTACCACGGGTACACTCTTAATTTAGGTGTAAGATTAAAAATTCCTTTACTTTGACAAATTGAAGATTTTTATTTAAATTTAATAAAATAATGATTATCAATGTAAAATTTAGCTAGTATTTGGCAAAGTAATAAAACTTTCAACCATAACGGCCAAATAGACGGAATGTACCCTTTGAATACATTACCACAAATTTTAAGGTTCCACGGAATATATTTTGGATAATGTAGGACCTAAGAGTTTTTACTAAAAAATCAAAGGTAACCCAAAGTATATTTAAGCTAATGTGGGACCTGAGACTAAGGACACCCCAAAGTAGTTTTCTACACTTTTTGATGTATGTTAAGAGAAAATTAGCCAAAAATCACAAATGCACTAAATACAGTGCTATGAGTTGAAATCACTGCAGGTATGTTGAATTGTTGATAGGGAAAAAAGCACGGAGTATATGTTACTGGATATGTACTGACCAACATTACTGCAAAGTAGCAAATAAAGGACAAATTAGACATGAAAAAAATGGAAATGCACGAAAATAAAAGTATATAAGTGTTAAATTCATTTTAAAAAAAATCATGTTATCGGTATGCCTATTTGGGTTAATGCTATATAGGGTGATTGTGTGAATACCTAAAATGAGAGTAAAGATGAACGAACGAACGTACAAATGAATGAATGAAAAGGGTACTGAGTGACTGAGTACTACCCATTGCACTAATGAAGTCAGAATAAGCTAAGCTCACAACAAATCAATCAGTTCCAAGCGGGGATTGGCTTTACAATGTCGTAGGCTGATCAAAAATTTCTACAGTACTCCGTACTATATATATATATGTGTGTGTATAGATAGATAGATAGATACAGTTGTAAGCGCTTACATGGCTGGCGGCCGTGGCAGTTTCAAAGCCACTTTGAATGGATGAATGTGGTTGGCATCAAAAATCAAAAGCTCAGGAAAAACATGATCTGCTTAAATTGGTAGTGGTGAATGAATGAATGAGAAGAGAGGAGAGCAGTGTGGCATTCATTCACTCAAACCCCAACCCCATCAAAGGAACACTGGTGGGATATGACAGCCAGTTTTGTTGGGCTGATTTCTATGCTGCAATCCACAGCCACCTGCCCAAAATCCAATCATCAAAAACAAACCAAATAAACACTCACTTCATTTCCAACCTTAGCCTTTGTTGTGGTGTGGGATAAATGCAACATTATCAATTAGTGTTAGCATTTTAGGTTGTTTTTTTATGAGTGTGGATTCATCATGAAAAATGCTAAAACTAAACATTGAAACTGTTTGTTGTCGCCAAAAAGGTACTTGGTTCATTATCTATACTAAGGGAAACATTGCAGAGATAACTACTCTTTTAGCTCTATTGGCGATGGACAAAATCAAGTGTACCAAAAATGTTCAAAATTATGCACATCATGATAAAGCTTCCCCGCCACTTCCATTCTTGATTTTGGTTGAAAAAATGATTTTCATGCAAAAAAAATAAATAAACATACCGTAAAATTTTTATTTTATTAATTACGGAGTATCAAAATTTCTCAAGTTTGCCTTAAAAATTAATGATGAGACAAATATAGTACATAGTTGAGATTTGCTTATTAATGATGAGAAAGGATACCACACATTAAGGTGCGAATTAATTAGAGATGTCTTTAAGACCATGCTAGGGGTACAAATGGTGTACTAATTTGTACATCAAACAAACACAGACACAATGTCTCTGTAGATTACAGACATATAGTGTCTATGTTAGTCTGTTGTACAAATGAGATGTTTTTAGAGTACTCTAACGTTATTGATGTTTTTAGAGTAATACTAGGCATATACCAAATGGTGTACCCTATTTGTACACCATTTTTTACACCATACATTTTTTATATATTTGTTATTTTTTTCATATCAACACTTAATTATGTGGTGGATAGGCTTTAGTGTACCCCTAGTATTTTTGATGTTTTAAATAGGAAAGGATAAGAAAAGAAAGTTCAATTGACACTACTTTTCAAACCATCTTGATTTTTTATTGGTTCAAAGAATTTGTTAAGAAAATGAAAGGAAATGATTTTTAAATTGATTTCCTTGCCACAACACAGATGGGAAATTTTGGTTTTCCTTTATCATTTTTCCATACTACTGTTCTTTCCTATTTAATCAAATAAGAAAAAAATATTTTTTTTCTCCCATTCAAATCCTTAACCAAACTTAATGTTAGGGTTTACAGTACATTTCAAAAAGAGAAATGTGTTTATAGACTATATTTGGTTAAAGAAATCAGAAGGAAAGCGAATGAAAATTGTTTTCCCTCAATTTCCTGGGAGGAATTTGGTTTTCTCTAGTTGTGTTCTCATTTTCTTTTCCTTCCATTTTTCTTTTTTAAATGATATGAAATCATCCGGTTTTGGGTAATCTGGTGTGGATGGATATGCTAACCTGAACCTTGGGCGAACTGAGTCCGAGAATGACGAGTTTGGCTCCCGGGTCACCTAGAACCTTCAACTCGACCCGGTCCTTAGTAGCGTCCTGGAGCAGAGATTGAACATCGGTTTGCTGCAAGATGGCCGGGCTGACGAAGACGGCAGTGTAGACCCGGCTGACCGTGTGGGCGGGCATGGAGAATTCGCGGACGAATCCCTGGCCGAGCGGGATCTCCTTGTACAGGACGACGAATCGGGATCCGGCGAACGTGATTCCCACCTTGTTGTCGTTGGTGACGTTGAAGGACATGGTGATGGCGATGCCTTCGGAGGCGGCGGCGGCGGCGACATCGGAGGATACGGCGGCGGTTGTGGGGGCGACGATCTGGACTTTGACTTGGTCAAGATCGATTTGGGGTTTCTTAGGCTTGACGAAGAGGACGACGAGGAGAACGAAAGCAACTACGAGGACGGCGATGAGGACCACGAGAAAGAAGAGGCAGCGGCAACAGCCGCTCAATGACGGCTTGGAGGAGGAGCGGCTTGATTCATAGTAGACCCGGGGAGCCCCGCCGGAGCTCATTTCTGCTCCGGGTGATTGCGGGCGGAATAATTTGCGGGCTTTGTGGCGTGAGATTGAGAAGGTAAATTGAAAAGCCGACGACAAGAAAAGAAAAAGAAAAAGAAAAAAAGAAACTTTCTTTTTTTTTTTAAAACAGAAACTTTCTTTTTTAGTAAGCTAATTTTAGTCCGTATAATTTAAAAAAGATTTAAATATGTTTTTAGTCTAAGGAAAATAGGTGATTTTTGTTTGAGTAAATTTCATAAAAGATCCTCAGTTATATCTTGTTTTACATATTTAATTCCTACATATCAAATATTACTAATTTATTCTCCAATTATTATATCATTGAATGGTCCTATGTTAACGTTTTTGTTAAGAACATGGATAAGATTGTATATTTATACTTCTCTCTCCTCAATTAAGCTTCATCCCTTCTCTCGTACTCTTTCCCAGACTCGTCGTTGAGTTTGAAGTTCTATACCCAAAACTAAAATTATCATTCCTCTCTAAATTGTTAGTCTTCTTAGTGGAACCTAAAATCAAAACCAATAAGCTTTATGGATGAGTTTTAACGGTTAGTCTCAAGAAATTATAAAGAAAAAAAACATTAAAACTCATCCATGAAGGTTACTGGTTTCGAATTTGGGTTCCACCAGTTAGACAAACAATTGACAGAAGAGTGATGATTTTGATTTTGGGTTCAAAGCTTCAAACTCAGCGACGGGTTTGGGAAAGGAGTGCGAGGAGAGGGAGGAAGCTTAATTGAGAAGAAAAAGGAGTGTGAATTTACAATTTTATTCACGTTCTTAACGAAAATGTTAACAAATTACCATTCGTGGAAATGAATATAATAATTGGGGACTAAATTATTAATATTTGATATGTATGGACTAAATATGTAAAACGACCTATAACTAGGGACTTTTTATGGAATTTACTGTTTTTGATTTGTGTCTGTAAATTTTTTTGTTAATTCTTACAAAAAAAAATTATTTTAAAAAATGTCCTTAAGAATAATTTACATTTCTAATTTGTTGAGATAACACATTTATTTCGTACTCAATAAATTAATTTTTTTATTTCTAATTACTTTCGACATAATTGTCATGTCTAAATTTTCTAATTTAGATATGTTATCTTCTTCATCGAATTACACCTCAATTTTCTAGTTTTTTATTACGCAGTATATTGTATTTCTAAAAAATTTAGGAATTAGAGATATAATACGAATAAAGATACAATTTAGGACATGACAATTGTATAAAAGGTAGTGAAAATACAAGACTAGTATGTTCAGTACAAAATAAATGTATTGTGCCAATAAACTAGAAGTTAAAATGATATTTCAGGACCATTATAAAAGTAATAAATGTAAGAATGATTTAACAAAAAAATATATTACAAGAACTAAAAATAAAAATCACCTATTTTTCAGGAACCACAAACATATTTAACAGCTTAACAAATAAAGGAAACGAATTTGTAAGATTTCCCTTAAACTCGACTTACATTATATTATAAGTTACTTCATTACTAGACTAAGGCCTCGTTCCGTTCAACTTATTTTTTCAAATCAGACTAGATCAAATCAGATTCAACCAGATCAGATCAGAACTGCAAAAAAACTGATCAAGTCAGAAAAAAATAAGTTGAACGGAAAGGAGTCTAAGTTATTGTCACTTACAGAGTATAAAGTTACCTAGTAATCCATATAAGCTATTTTCATAGAGTTTATATTACGTGGTATTTCAACTAGTACTATCTCAATTTTTGAGTATTTGTTTAACTTTATTTATTTCAATTAATCAGATTCAATCTTTGACCAATAATGAAATAAATAAAAGTTACAAGGATTTTTTATTTAAATAAACAATATTTTGAAAATATTTATAAGATAAATTTAATAATAATATTTTTGTATCAATATCTAACATATGTGAAATTTAATTAATAGTTAAAGTTTATTAATTTTTATTAAAACAAGTTAAAAGTGAACAAATACTCAAGAACGAAGGTACGGACTATTACTTTCTTTTTTGGTGTTTTTTTATATTTTCACTAATCCAACAGGGTACATTTTAATCATTATAAACACACAATTGCATTTTTGTGTAATCTAATATTGTAACTACACTTTGATATTCAATTAAAATAATCTATGTAATTAAAATCATACACTGGTATTTATTGTCGAACACACACACCGATTCTTAATACTCTATCAGACACACCCTACTTGTTACTAGTCAATTTGAGATCATATTTAATTTATCATTTACCCAAGAAAAATTTACAAATAAACAAATGAAAATATTTCGCTGTATTAGAGAATCACATTATTCCTGTTATATAAATTGAATATAAACACTTTTAATTCCCTCTCAGGCTCTCACTGGATGATGTACTTTACCAAACGAATGAGTTGGATAGGGCGTTCCTTAGTTATGAAGTAAGAGCAAACTAGTGTGCCTTTTTTTGACATTCATTGTTTTTCTTTCATATAAAATTTCAAGTCAATATTCTGAAAATTATGACATTTCACTAATATATTTCAAAATTACATAATTATTACTCCTATCTCATTGTATTTGTCCAACTTGACTTTTTCGGGTCAAATAGAATGAATTTTGAGCTATAATTAAACAAAAATTGTTATGTATATTAGAATAAAATTGATTTTATTAGAATAATCATGTAAAAAAATTTCAAAATTTTATTTCATTGTAGTACGAGTAATATATAACGCAAATTGAGATAGTACAAGTTTACACACTGCAAAGGAGGTAATATTAGTGCTCCCGGAAATTCAATACTTTTGCAAATACTACAAAAGAATTAATCTACACGAACCTCTCATTTTTCAAGACGTATCTTTGAAATATTTGTAACTTTATCACCAAAGTGAAGTAAGTTTTGGGGATGATATTGAAAAGGTTGGGAGTGGGTTCGAGCCAGTCCAAAGTTGGTGGTTTGCCAGGAGAGTTAGTGGGAGATAAGAACTATTCATTTTACTAAAGAAACACTCTAAATGCTTCAATTGGAGTCCGTGTCATCTGTTGACACTCAAAACAAGTGTCGGCGAAACCTAGCCGTTATTACAAAGATATTAAATTCCCAAAAACACTAGTAACAATTATGTAATCTTAGAGCAATCTTGTAAGAACTTCAAATTTCCAGTAAACTTCTTTCAATAGATTCTCTTTCTAGTGTTCAGCATTGCCTCATTTTTTCAATGGATGGCAATTAAAATATACACAAAATTTGCAAAATTAAACTGCCAACTATGTGTGGAATGGAAAATGCCAACTCAAAACACAAGAATGAGCTTAGTAGTGACATGTGCAAATCCTAAATGTTTTTAAAGCTAAACACTACTAGTTAGGAGTATTAAACAACCAATAGACAAAGCAGACAAATTGCAAGAACAGACACATATATTATATATAATCAAGAAGACAACTGAAACAGAAATAAGTTAACCATAGTAGAGTTTGATTAATGGAATAGCCTTGAGGAAAGATACACATGAGTACACAGAACAAGAACTGCCCTCGCTCCCTTGAGAGTCATTGCCTTTCAACTTGAAACCAGATAAATGCAGAGTAAAAGACTGGGTTTTCTTGATTCGTACGACTATTTGCAAATAGGAGCTTTAGAGATTTTCGGCAGGGGGGGGGATAAGAAGCATTGTCTCGGAACTAGGGAGCTTTGGTGGCATCATCTCCAGCAAGATCATCATCATCATGGTAAATGTTCTCGGCCATCTGCCAGATTTGCAGTATATTGTCTTCAGCCACGCTGGCGATGACCCAATCCTCACACGGATTCCACGAGAAGTCTGAAATTTTACTTGTATGCCCTCCATGAATGAAGAGGAGCTCGGGCGGTCCATCTTCTGCATCCTCTGGTGTTTGTTCTTCGTCAATTCTGGTATTAAAAAAAGAGATGTATAATGACACTATACCTGTTTTGGAGAGTGTGATTCTCTATCCGCAAGACTATTCGTCCAGTTTGGCTTTTAGGAGACAAACTTTGATCATCAACCAAATAAAAATTGCAGTGAATGTAGAAAATACCTGCTAAGATCCCAGACCATGAGCCTCCTGCCAAGGCAACAAGAACCTAAGATGGTCTCGTTCTTTGGATTCCACGCAACCTGGAACACCTCCTCCCTGCAAATAGGTACTTTAATTTCATTTGTGTAGCCAGGTAGGGAAAATGATTAACCAAATGAAGACACTAAACTTTCACATGAGAAAAAAGATGTAAGAAACAACTCTTACTTGTGGCTATCAAAGGTATGGAGTGCAGAAGTAATCTTGCGCAGGTCAAACAATTTGACTGTCTTGTCAGTGGATCCGGTTGCTACAACCCACTCATTGAATGGATTGAATGCCAAGCAGTTAACCTTTTATCAAAGACAAAGACGCAATGCCGTGAACAGTACAAAATGCATAATTACATATTTAAGCCAAATGGGTCCAAAGTGATGGTTTTTTCCGCAACGTATGAGTTAGTATAAAATTTGAATCCATGTATATATAATAGTCGCATCCCACCTCTCCATTATGAGCAACTACAGATTGCATAGGCTTCGTGACAGATGGGGAGCGGAGATCCCATATGTGTAGGTATTGATCGTCTCCAACCGACCCGAATAAATACTCGTGCCTCATATGCCATGCTACATCCTCAACAACTCCCTCGTGAATCTAAAATAACATCGATAAAAAAATGTTACTCTCTTAGACATGAGAGAGTTCTGACCAACAGTCAAACCCAATGTTTCATTGTTTCCATGACTGCCACTAACCTTAAAAATCTGCATGGCATCAAGGGCCTTGTTTTTTGGAGTGGCATTGACATCCCACAAGCAAATCTGAGCATCATCCGATCCACTTAACAAATGACCCTGCTTAAACTGACTCCATGATAAACCGTACCCTTCAGTGGTATGACCCCGTAGTCTCAAATCAGGGTTGCATGCACCATCTAGTGGAGGCTTTGATGGATGCTTGCTATAATCGAAAACATAGACTTCGGCATTGACTGTCTTGGTGGCAATGATAAATGGGTTTTGAGGCATGTAACGGGCCCGGTTCACTTCTCCTTCGTGATTTATTTGCTGGGTTATTTGTACCTACATGAGTGATATACATAGTGTTTAAATAAAGAACGGTTATTTACCCAAAAAGTGATCGACGAAAAAACGCAATGACCCCCCCCCCCTCATCATCAAGTGATGTTTTTTAAGACGAGAAAAAGCACAACAAAGCCATCAAAATGTTTTCATCAAAATCATAAAAACGGTTTAGAAATAAAGGAAACCGAGATGAAAATGAACTGAAAGAAAGTTTGTATGCTAACCTTCAAGAACTGAGCATTCGCTATGTTTGTCACGAAATCGATGTTTTAAAATTGAACCAGTTATTGAACGAAAACGGCATAGGTTCAATGTAAAATGGTTAAACAGTAGGTGTACCCTTAACAATTAAATATATAGTAGTACATATATTGTAATATTCTATACTAGTTGCATAATAAATTAATCTAAATTATTCAGGAAGTAAGATAATTTAAATTTTAAACTAACATAGATATAAAACTCCTTCCATCCAAAAATAAAGTTATTGGTTCGACTAAAAAAGTGAAAGTGAGTGATAGATCATATTTTAAAGGAGAGAGAGATATGTAAACCACAAAATTATTTCAAAACAGAAAGCAGGCACATTATTCTGTTTTGTAAAATCAGGAAAAGGTACCCTAATTTGGGATGGAGGGGGTAACAAACATTCATGGGCACGATTACTACTCACTTTGTCCCAAAAAAAATCAAAAGTTTTTGTCCGAAATCTCATTTGATCAGACGGATTTAACATTTCATGTAACTTTGAAAAAAGACTTACAAAGGATACATTATAAATATGAGAAGTTCAACTAAACCAAGAAAAAGTTGTGCATATATATTCCATGACTTTTGAGAGTGGAATCTTTCCAAAATTCAAACATTGTACCTTGACAAGGCAGGACTCTTTTTTTGGGAAGGAAGGAGTGCAAGCTATCTATGGTTCTTTCTTAGCTTAAATTAAAATAATAATGCATTTTATTTTAGAATAAATAACAAAGAAAAAACAAAACTAACGATCAGTTCATAGGCCTGAAATCTGCGGGTGTACATAGACCCCATTTATTTTGGCTAAATGGGATGAATGAGTAACCAGTTGGAGTTTCAACTAGTTGGTAATGCCAGGTTATCATTGGCATGTATGAAATCATAATGGTGATGTCACTCTAGTGAATGTAAGATGTATCATCAGACAATAATACCAGAAAAGTCCTTAAAATTGGAAGAGCTCGGAAATAAGTTAGAACATAGGTGACACAATTCCTAGTTCACCTCAAAACATTGTCCTACAACAGGACATGCATGTCGTATCATGTATGTACCAAGAAACTAGCATTCTACAACCAGCAAATATAGATATTTTCATAAATATAATTCAATGACACAAAGAAAAAGACAACAAAATATTCATCAAAAGACTTTAAATTTTCCATTGCTTATTGGATTAGTAGACTCAAACTTCATTAAAACCAAGATCTCAAAAAAAATCCACATAGCATACCAGATCTAGACGTACAAATCCAACTCTAACAGGCATTTCAACCAAAACAGCTAAGACTGAGAGCTATCTCAAGTTTCCCATTTTAACCAATATCACCATTTCTTTTAGAGGCAAATATTTAATCAACAACGAACTTACAATCTTACCAGCTCATGGAAACAACTTTAGATTACTAAGTACTCTGTATTGCATAACAATAAAAGAACCCAAAACACTTCTCATAAAATTCAACTCACTGAAAGGCTTACATTAAAAACTTAGTTCACTAACCACAATATCAGCTACTTAATTTCAGAAGTGCAGAATATTTATTCGGACAATTTAGTTTCTAGAACTGCATATGGGAGCACTCACTAATGCACAATCAGCAATGCCACCCCAAATTTCACAAATTGAAAATGAAACCCATCAAAGGCGCCCCAAATTTTCCCAGCCCAAAGAATAATCATAAGAAGAACAAAATCTGAAGGGGAAAAAAACCTACCTTTCCACTGGCACAGCCGAACCCACCGAAATCAGACCTATCATCATCATAATGGCGGGCATCATTTTCAGCATCCTCGAGCGGGAGGTGGACAGTGGCGATCATAAGGTAATTCGGCTCATTCTCCGAAGTGTGCGTCCCAAGAATAACCTTTTGGACAGAATAATCCTTCCCAGCGCGCTCTTCCCTGTCGGGGAGCCATTCCACCGTAAGCGACGGCCACTCAAGCGCGTGGGTGATAACCAGATCATATAGAAACGGGGTGTTCTTCTTCCAAATCTTGTACTCCTCGTTGATTTGCCTCTCCTCTACCTCGCCCCTCATCTCGTCGTCGTCTTTGCCCATGAATTCGACTCCTCGGCGAACCGGCGGCCGTGCAGTTGCAGATGAAGGGTCTGCCGAGGAAAGGGGGGTTATGGCTCGGAAGATTGGCAATTTCAAGAATTTGGTCTGAGCTTCGAGGTGAGATTGTGAGGTTTTGCTCTCGATTTCTGGGAAAATTGGAGGGAAGATTTTGGTGGGTTTTTGCAGTAAAAGCTTTATTGGGAAGGGAGGGTTTTTATGGGCCAGTCTCCTTCAGATTCCGGACCGTGGCCCAAACTTCATACGGTGTGGTAATGATATTTGGGCCGAACCGGTCTTCATATGGGAGAAGATTATTGGGGAGTGAAATTTGTGTGGAATTAGACCTGGCAAAACTGACTCAAACCCGATAATTCGAACCGAATAACTCGGAACTAAACCTGATTTGACCCGAAAAGTGAAAAACCGAAATAGACTCGAACACCCGAAATGATCTGAATCAAATCGAACCCAAACTGAATGTATTCAGACCCGATTCAGATCCAAATCTGATTAAACCCGAACCCGGTTAAACCCAGAACCGATTAGACCTGAAATTGATTAAATATTATGTACGTCCGTGTTAAATAATAAAATAACTACGGAGTATATCATAAATTGATTAAATTTATTATGTGATATTATTGATTTATTAGTAAATTTTTAAAATATATATGAACTAATATAATCCAATATTTATACAAACTCGAATTGATATAAACTCGAACCGATACAAATCCGAACCAATATAAACCCGATACAAACCCGAATCGAAACCGAAAACCAGTCAACCCAAAATAAACCCGGCACCAAATTGACCCAACCCGAACCGACCCAAACCGATTATAACATATATCCAAATGAGACCCGAACCGAAACCGAACCGATTGACCCGATTGCCAGGTCTATGTGGAATCAATCTACTCAACTAAAATAAAATCATATACTCATTCCATTCTTAATTAATTAGTTCATAACACATAATAAAAATTGACTTTGTTTAATTTTAATACTCCCTCCGTCCCTAAATATTTACAACATTTGCTTTTTTAGCAGTGTCGGAAAATTTTGTTTATTTCGACGTTTTCATTGATTATTTGATAAAATAAAATATTCTTGACACCTCTTATTTCGAAAAACTTTTCATGTAGTTTTTTTATATGTAAATTTTATTTTTTATTTCTATACCAATATGTAAATAAAATGAATTAAAAAACTTGATATTTTGGCTCGGGAATACAAATGTGGCAAATAATTTGGGACGGAGGGAGTATTAATTTATTTAAATAATGATATAACATTTTTAATATAAAAACCTACATCGAATTCTTTATAAAATAAGATGTTATATAACTATGTAAGATTATCAAAAACAAGAAATTAGAATCGATTTTTGTAAGATTTTTTCCCCCTAATTAAATGCATCCAAAATATAAAATATGACTAATAACGATAAAAAGAGTATTCCATATTTTGTAGTCCTATTGACTCGACTAGAATATACTACTCCGTATTTATTAATACTTTCTCACAATAAATCAATGTCTTTCCTTTCGCTTGACTTGAACTTTAATGAAATTCTTCAAGAATATTTGAAAATGGACTATCTTTTTTTCAACAAAGCACTTTCTTTATTCACTAAGCTCCAAAAAATTGCACAAGATAATTCACAAAACATTCCCTATTACACATTCTATATTCTTATACTCTTTTTCATAATAGCTTGAACATGATATTTTATATTAGCTATCCTCTCTTCCTCTTCCAACACTTTCTAGGGGAGTTTGGTGTTTCGTGTTTTTCATATTGCGTAACAAATTGACATCAAAGATGCCATAGTTATTTCCCTCATATATGTCGGCTTTATCTTCATGATGTTTTTACTTATTTCTTTGAAATCATCTCTTTCAGTCTTACAATTCAACCAAACATATCTGTGTACACTTTGTGAGTATATCTTTATACTTACAGAACAAGTAATTTATATCTTTTTCATCTTTCTTACATGGCAAGCAGTTTGTATCAATGTCAATAACCTTTTTCAACATTATCTTTGTTTGGAGTCTCCTTTTGATGATCAACTAGAAGATAAATAAAATTTCTTTCTTACTTTGATTATTCTTCTTTTTAATGATGACACCAATTTGGTTTGAGAAAACTAGACTCGTACCCGTGCGATGCACGGACTATTAATTTACATATATTTAGTCAATTTTTAGAATAATGGAAAATGTTACAAAACTGGAAAGATTACATAATTTAATATTATTCCCCAAAAGGGAATTCTATATAGTAATGAGCAAAGTCGATATGAAGTGTTAAAAGTTTTGGAACACTTCTTTATAAACTACAATCGTAGAAAACGATACATTGCTAATATTTATCCTTCTAAATTTAGAATTTAATAACAAAAATCTAACATTCGTTATAATCATTATATGCATACAAATGTGATGTTTTACTTAAAAAATCAACAATAAAAAGAAATACGTTGTCCATTTCTTGTAAGCGTAGTGAATGATACATTGCTAATATTTATCGTTTTAAAAAAAACCAACATTTGTCATAATCAAAATAGACATATAAATAATTAACACTACAAAAATTCATCAAAACAACATGTTATTTTTAATAGAATTTTAAAAATATATTAAAAATAATATATTATTTTTTATAGAATTTTATTAAAATACATTTTTAAACATGTTAAATAAAAAAACAAAAAATGGCCCTATTTGACTGCAACCAACCTGATTAAATCGTTAATTGAATCTGAATTGAAAAATTAAATATGTGAAATTGACTCATCAAAATTAAGCCCAAACCCGAGCCAAATTGGGTCAGAATTGAATATACTCAAACCCATTTAAGCCCCTTCCAAAAAACTTTTTTTAACTAATCCACCAGTCCAATTTTATAAACCCAACCCACTACAACCCTTCCACCCAGCCCACTAATAAAACCTAAATATATTTTCTACCCGAATCTCTCTCTCTCGGTCGCTCCCTTTCCGCCGTCGCCTGTCTCGCTCCCTCCCTCTTCGTCTCTATGCCGCCGTTCAATGGATCTTCGTTTATGGATGTAAGATTCTTGTTTCGAACTTCATTTCTATGGATCTTTCTCTCTTTATCTGTTTACGAAATCTTTCTTTCTCATAATTTATCAAATCTGTTAAAATATTTGTTTATCTTTTTTTAAACAAAAATATTTGTTTATCTAATTAATGCACAATTATTTTTTTATAATAATTAAAATTTAATACTCCCTCCGTCCACAAATAAATTTCACTTTTACTATTCATAGAGTCAAATTTTATTTACTTTATTGCCTTATTTTCGTCACTCATTTGATAAAATAATATAGTTATGTCAACTCTAGTTTTGTTATTTTTATAAATCTTTTGATATAGTCTTTTAATATGTAATTTTTATTTTTTAAATTTTACACCAATTTTCATATAAAGCGATTTGAAAATAACTTCAGTCAAACATTATAACGCATAACGGAAAGTTTATTTATGGACGGAGAGAGTATATAATATATAAAATATTTAGTAACCCATGTTTCGTCCAGCCCAATAGCATTTTGATATATATGCCTTATTTCTAACCCTACTACTCCATTCTTCCGTCCCTCTCTTCCGCCGCTCTCTCCCACCATCTTTCTACCTCTCATCTCCGTTCATCTCCGTCTTATCTCCGTGTCGCCACTCTTCTACCATTTTCGGATCTGTCTCTCACATATCTCCTACCAACCGATTGGTTTTGGCGATGCATACATGTATGGTTTCATTTCCAACTTTGGTTTGTTCAACATTGAATTTTTGCACGATTTGGGCACAATTTTGATTTAATCTTATTTTCACTTAAACAAATCCAGGTTTGCTTCGTGTGATTTATTGTTTTTTGTTCATCGAATAAATATATCTTCCGATTAGTATTTACGGGATCTACATATTCTTTAGATCTTTAGATATGTATTTATTAGATCTATATATATCAATTATATAATTCAATTTTTAAACTTTTAAACTTTTAAACTTTTAAACATTTAAACTTTTAATTATATAATTCAATTTTTAAATCTCCTTTCGGTTCTCGAATAAATTTTTTTTTCATCATTTTTTATCCAAGAAGAATAGATGTTTGTGGAATTATTTCTTTGTGAACTATTTTCTACAACTTTTGTTATTTTTTTGGGAACTATTTTCTACAACTTCTGTGATTTTTAGACTTTTAATATTCGAGGCATCAAACAAAATGAACGTATCATGGCGAGGCATAATGGAATAAACCCCCGTTGTTGCAGCCATGGCGGTTTCATTTCTTATATTGCTTAATCTTAAAACCCGTTTAAAAAAATAAGTTGTCCATTTCTTGGAAGAATATTGTTGTTCAAACAATTTCTCTCCTATACACACACACACACACTCTCTCTCTCTCTTTTAATTATTCACCTTTGGCTACTTTACGATATATATGCTCCTTTAATTATATCACGTTTATATATATATATATATATATATATATATATATATATATATATATATATATACATATACATATATATATATATATACACACACACACACACATACACACACACACACACATACATACATACACACACACACGTGGTGTACGTGCTATATAGAAGGAAACGCCATTGTCTTTAACTTGCCATTGATGTGGAGGGCTGGATGCTCAATGAGAAATAGAAATATTGAATGAGAAATAGAAAAGTGAGAATGTGAGAAGTTGTGGTGTTGTTGAATCAGAGAATGACCTATTATTTATATTATCAGGATTTGTGAGATTGGTATGAGATATAATGGATGGATTTGACACAAAGTTACTTTTTCGTCTACTTTATTGAGCCACTCAATTTTTTTTCCAATGCAATTTTATGGAACCACTAAAAGTAACTTTTTATCAAATCTACTTTATGGAGCCACTAAATTTTTTTTCCCAATGCAATTTATGGAAGAAATAATTTGATTAGACAAAAAGTAATCATTTTCATACTTCAAGAAAATCATTCCAACTCTTCTCAAGAAATCTACTCACATTACCCAATAAATTTGCCAAATAAAAATGACCAATTTTTGGCCCACGGACAGCAGCCCATTACCATGGATCTGGCCCAAC